CAGACTCGGAATGTAGAGATGGACAAGAGCCAAACACCATCTTGTTATGTTGGACACTTTCCAGCACATTATGACGGAAAGGGAATGCTAATAAGATATTGTAAACCTTTATCATATTTGAAATCCCTTGAAATTCTTAATTCAAACACAATTAAGTTGTAAATTATCATTTCATGATTGAATTATGGTAAATGTTAAATTTGTTATGAAACAGCTGGTAAATATGTAAATAGTTTACACAACATTACTATCCAGAGTTTTTTGGTAAAATAGTGATGCAATTGAATTGTACTATACTAAATACATTACCATACAAAAAAAAAAAATAACTGGTTCAAAAAAAGAAAAAAATAATTCAACCCAAAACTCTTTTCCTCCACAATAATTATTATAGAGATACAGTTGACAGTTACAAGGGGGATCATAGCAATTTACCACAAATGTTGTATCATAATTTCTTCTTTCAATGATTATGTATTCTTTTTCAACCTATCCTTAAACTGTAATAAAAAACATTGTTTAATTAGGCTGAAACTCACTGCTGACAATGTTTTTAAAAAGCTACGTTAGTTGTTTGGACATGTTCACTATTTGTAGTTTTCTCTTATAAAAACGATCTGTACCAAATCATTTAAAACCTTGAGATGTGTGAGTACGAGCCTTAAAAACTCTGAATAAAAATGTTTTAAAAATAAATTAATAATTTAAAACTACGATAAAATAAAGGTGAAATTGAAGATTCCCTTTATTATTTGACAGTTCAATGAACATAAAAATGTTAGGAGATGAGCATAGACCGCCATAGGTATTGTTTTACAGTAAATTTTAGAGGGTTGGATAGTTTTTGTAAATTTACTCTTTGTAAACGTTATTCTTTTTATGAGCCCGTAAACTTCAGCTTAATTGTTGAACAGACTGATTTATTAGAATCAAAGGCTAATTATAATCTCTAACGAATATTTAATACAAATTTGCTTAAGAGAATTGATAAATTAACTAAAAAAACAAATTACTCTTTAATTAATGGATACATTTTCTATGAAAAATTAGGAAAGCTGTGGTCGCTTTTGTGGACAAGATTGATATTCTCTCGCCCTGAGTATCAAAAGTTAAACGAAACCCATTCGACAATTTAATGAGAAAACTTTACAATCGATACCATTGTTAATGGCTTCTCACAGTTTGTAGATTATCACCCATTATCCTTTCTCATGAAACTTGCTTTAGTCGTGAATAAAATATAAGAGAACAAATTCAATAGTTCATTTTACAACCTCTAGTTTTTTTTTTTTTTTTTACAATATCATAAATGTTTTAAATATTGAAATGGTGATTTTGGTCAATGGTCAAAAATAATATGTTTTAAATATTTACATCACATTTACCATGGTTAAGTTTGATATTAGCATCACTTTTCTTTTAACAGTTTTCTTCCAAAAATTAGGGTGTTGATTAAATATTTTGTAGCCGTTCAATCTGTTAATATTTATTATTAACAACAAAAATACAAAGAGTTTAACTTATGAGCGATTTTTTAAATCATCAATTAAGTTACTGCTCTGTCTCTTAAAACGCTACCAATTTCATAGTAAATATTATCCTACAATAATGACTCTATTTAAAAAAAATGGGAAATTTTGTTTATTAGTCATAGTCTTAAACACTACACTTATCCAAGCCAAACCACATACTAGATAACCGACGTTAATTTTATATATGTCCGTATATACAAAATGCATTCTATACTATCCTATAACCTTATAAAAAAATTTGTTTCTATCAGAAAGTTTATATAAATTTTTAACAAAAACCTTTTATTTTACCACACAAATTATATTGCATTTATGCTTATTTCACATTACATACATATCTTATTTGTGTGTGTAAATATGTATTATATACAGACTAGATTCATATACTATTCATCTACAATATGTCTGACTTAAGAATTACACACCTACTTACAACAAAGTTTGACTTCAAGTAGTTACCAGTGGATGTAGTAATTATACTAATGTTCGCCCAATTCACGGAACTTACTTATTGCAAGTTCATGTTAAACTTCATATCATCTGAACGTAACAATATTGAATAGCACAACTTTGTTGTATAGTTAGTCCTGACTTCGACCAAGTAATGTTAATCCAAAACAAGCAAATTTGTGCGTCAAACCGGAAAGAGATAGTAATTTTTATACATATTATAGAGCTGCTGTTTTCATATTTTTATATGCCTATTGCAATTTTTTCTTTGTAATAACTCCCAAAAATTTGAATTACCAAACTAATGTTTGTGTGCTTTTTAATCTTAAAAAATGTATAACCTTTTAGATCACTGAAATAGCTTATATCTACTGAATCGTCTGATTGGAATAATTTAATTTTTCAGATATAATGCTAATTTATTTCTGTGTCTTGACTTTTTGGCCTCTAAAAAGGAAAATTTTTTGTGATTCCCGAAGAAAAACTTTAAACGACGACTCGTCCCACCTAAGTAAGCTGCTTATTCTTGTTAGAGTTTAATGTCCGGAAGGTTTAAAACTTTTACTTTAAGTGTTGACAATGTTGAAAAATGTTATAAAACAAGTTGCAAAGCTTATTAGCAGGTTCAGTTTTTTTTCTTTAAACCCAACCATAAAAATTAACAAAGATTCTGTATTATAAAATAAATTGAAACCTTTATTTTTCCAAAGAATTCAAATATAAATTGTCTATTTACTTTTAGATCAGTGTTAAACTAGTATTTTATTCAAACATTTTAACACGTTTCTTACAGATAAGAATTAGGCTTGACTTTAAAATCAATATTAAAATGTAACTTTACATTTTCATTTGATAGAATTCCAATGTGTGTCTTTAATGACTCTAAATTAATTGCAGATGGCCCTAAAAGTATAAATTAAAATTATCTATCCGATTACCTTTTTACTGAGATCATAATTAATTTATACATATTTGCCTCCAGGATTAATTAATTGGCATAAAATGAGGTTACTAACCTGTGGTCAATCAATAATCAATCCTATATTGTCGTGATGACTATAGTTTTGGGGTTAAAAACCCATTTTTAAATCTTCAGTAGTCAAATCGTCAAACATATCTTTCTGAACTTGACGTTGTCAATAATACATACATACATACGGAAACATTTTGATTTACAAAAATTAAAACAATGATGTGGAAGTATGACTTTTTTTAAAGGAAAATATCCACACACAAAACTCAAATCATTTACTATTTAAGATGTTTGGAATTTCCCTCATTATTCCTTCTTATAACTTAATTTACACTTAAATATAAATAATCACACCATTAACAATATTGTAGAGAAAAGGATTTTGATAACTGTATTTATTTTACATTATCGTACAAAACAAAACTGTAAACAAAAGCTGTAAGTGAATAATCATGTTTGTTCAGTAATATTGTCTTGTTTGTTATCTGTGTCATTTCAGAGGTTATTTGTAATATCAAACATCATTATATGGCTTTTATCTTTGTATTAGAGCATGTATTTTACTATCAATTCCATCCAATTGTTGTATTCATTTATCTGACTAAAATATGTCATAAACTATAAAATATTAAAAAATATTATTTAAAAGTTCATTATTGTGTTTTTTACATTCGTGTACACACTAGTAAATTATAAATATTGCATAAAGGAGTAAAATTTTATAAGTTTCTTTTTATTTTTATTTTTTTTTTCTTAATAAATTTCAACTGAAATAATGGTTTATTAGTTTTTAATTATTAACAATAATTATTGGAAAATATTGGTGTTCAAATCAAGTTAATTGTCTATTCAAGAAATGTACTCTTTTCCTTATTGAAATATGGATATTTAAAGACTGTTTTGTTTTTCATACTTTAGTAATGTCAGTAACACAATAATATTAAGGAGTTCACAGCGTCAAACAATGGAAAACTTTCTCAATCTAAACTAAAATGTTACCCGGAACTGATGTTTATATTCAACACTTTCGAAATTGCCTTCTATTTCAGGTATATCGATAAAGTTTATCACTATTCAATAAAATGATATAATTAGGCTAATGGAATTTTACAAACATGTTGGGAAGGCCAATCCTTGTTATAAAAAGTTAGTAAATGCACAATGATTTTTAAGTACAAGGTAAATTAAAATTAAAACTCCTATTCAACATATGATACATATGAAACATATGATTTCAGGTATAAGAAAATGAAGGCATGTACAAAAAAAGTCAATGTTATAAAAAGTTAGTAAATGCACAATGATTTTTAAGTACAAGGTAAATTAAAATTAAAACTCCTATTCAACATATGATACATATGAAACATATGATTTCAGGTATAAGAAAATGAAGGCATGTACAAAAAAGTCACATTTTTATTATACTTTATATGAATTGTATAAAAATACTATGTAAATCTTAACATGCAACATGTTTTTAAAATCTGAAACTACACTGCACTTACTTTGTTTTAACTCTTAAAAAAATTACATATCACATTAATAATATAGTATTTATAACAAAATTTGTTTATATGTCTTGTAACTGATAGTTGTAACAAATTAATAACAGGCAAATTTATTTTACTTCAGCTCTAAATATCTTATACAATTTTTATAGAGGTTTTCAATTATGAAATTCATCACAAATTGTATACAGCTACAGTTCAAACAAAAAAAGAGATGTTAAAAAAATTGATTATTTGCGTAAAGCTCTGCAAAATCCCTTTGAAATAATTTTAACTAGTTCATTATATTGTAAACCGTGGGTTTACCATCTTAAAAACAAAAATATGTTGCTATTTTCAATTACATGGGAGTATGCTTACAGTTTTGATGTTATAGGTATGTAAGTTTAATTCAAATTCCAACAAACTTAAACTTAACTTTAACTTGTTATTTAGAACAAATGTAATGAAGAAAAGACAATTTTTTTTCTAATTCAAGAATGGCAAAAGGTTGGGTTTGAAAAAAAAACATTGTATATTTTAGCAATGTTGCTTCTTTGTCTATCCTCATTAAATTCTTTTTTCCTACAGTCACCTGACAAAGTAGGCTCCCTTGCCCAGATTATAGTAGGTACAGAAAGCCTTAATTTGGGGAACAGTGTTTACTTTGGTGCACACCTTTTATTATGCACGTAATCCGTATACGCTTGAAAATAAGTTGGCAACACTTAAAGATCAGCTGCTGCAACGTTTCCCATTTCATTCAATGTTTTGATGTAACCTACCGGTAACCAAAAACGTGTTGTTCAGTGTTTGAAAGACTTATTATTTATATAATTTATAGTAACTGTAGGAAAAATAAAATGTGTAACGCGAGTGCAAACTGCCTTTGCTGCACACGAGAGAAATGTTTACACACGAGTCCATTAGTTACACAAATAACTATTTTAAACCTAGTTTTAAATATAATTAGTAGAATTTGTTGAATCCACACTCTCTTCCCTTATAATCACATTAGTTTTGTTGTCTGCCATGTAGGCCTGAAACACATCATATTCACGCTTGAAATGCAAAGGGTTACAGTTTGATATAAGTTATCAAACATTTATCACTTAACACAATATATATTTTACCATATTTTGCTGGAGGACTAAGTCGGATTATTTGATTTTTTAATCCGTCAAGTCTTTATATTAGTTTTACGTCACATTCCAAATTATCATTTCTTTGTGCTAACATTTGTTGGATGATCTAAGTTTGTTTAGATCTTATAACTGTACTTGGTTGAATTTTAGATGTTTGCACTTTTAAATATTTTAAATATTGCAACTAACATTTTTTTGTAAAATATTATGAAACTTGCTTCGTTTATTTTGTTAATAATATAGTAAGGTATAGTTAGTTTTCAATATCATTCATTATGTTCACAACAGTGTTAATTTTTTTCTGTTTTCTTGATCATTTTACGTTGTAAAAATTAATATTTATATTTAAAATGTTAAAGATTTGTACTCTGTAGCAAACGTAATGGAATAAATCATTCATTCATTCTGTCTCTATATTGAAGTGGTTGACTGACCGTGATGTTTTAGATCAATTAATGTTCTAAGTAGTATCAATTGCTTGAAATATTACTACCTAATTAGTTTACTGAAGATCATTATTTCAGATGCATTAACATTTTTTATATTATTCACCTAAATATGTTGAGAGCTTGAGCTACCTCTATCGTATTTTACGTCTTACAGTAGAAAGTGTTTTTCATTAAATATGTTTTTACATGATACCGAAAACTTCACTACTTTGCGGAATGATTTGGTATTTCATCCTTTCTGTGTTTTTTTTTTTTTTTTTTTTTTTTCAGGGGTTACTTTTAGCACCATTCTCACTGTAAGTGCTGTTTTAGGTACTTTAATAGAGAAATATTACTTTATCTAGCAATACTGTATGTGTTAAAACTGTTTATTTACAACATTTAAATAAAAACAAACAAAAATACTTGTTTATTGTTATTCACTAGAAGTATCTCTTCAATTAAATCAAAAAGACTAGATTTAAAAACAGTCAAATAGTTTACTTACTTGTCTGGCAATCCTGACAAGTTCTGCGTGAAGCTCCGACGGACCTGCTTCTTGTATCATCTTGTTCAAATGGCTGTATTTGTTCTGCAGTAGTAAATAAGGGTGACCATATTCCTGAAAAACAAATCCAACCTTATTAAGCGTAGTAATACTACAAGGATTTGTAAAAATATCAGTTTTGTATGACACTTAAGGAACGAATGTACTGTATTTCTTTTAAAATCAACTGTTACAAGTAAGAGTAAATTTTAGTTGAAGTATTGAAACAAAATATAGCAAACTTCAACACAAAACTAATGTAATCACCATTTACTAACACATGAAGACGAAAAAACCACCAATTCTTTTTTAGTACAAAATCTAGTTACAAAAACTTGGTCCTACCTATAAAAACGTGTAAGTGTTACTTTTGTGAATTTATTTAGTTGCACTGATTAAGGAAACTCTTGGCTAAACACTAATCTCACTCGCAGTTTGATTAAAAGATAAATACAAAAAAGGAAAACAAAATAATAAAGAGCAATCTTTTTTTTTCTTTTTTTTTTTTTCTTTTTTTTCTTTTTTTTCTTTTTTTCTTTTTTTTCTTTTTTCTTTTTTTTCAATTATCAGCAACTCACCGCCATCTTCCCATTGTCCAACACCAACACGCGGTCTGTTGCCATGACTAGTCTTAGTCTCTCAGTCATGATGATCACTGTAGAAGATGGCAACAGTTGCCTGACTAGAGTTACCAGGGCATGGTCACTCCTGCAACACCACTCAATGAATACACAGGGTGTCCCGTAGGTAATCAGCCAAACTCAGGAAAATGGTTCTCTTAGTCAAAATAAAGAATGGATTGTTTTCAAAATTACTTTGTTGACCTCTTCACTATTTTCTATTTTTACATAATTTAGTATGTTAAGGGAGTACCTTTGTTAGAAAAAAATTACTTGGTCCAATTCAAAATTAAAAAATGGTGACCATTATAATTTTTATATTTTACTAATAATGGCTGATTTTATTAAAGAAATGTGAAGGAAACTTGTATTTGGCATTTTAAAAGATTTGTTGTATTTAAAATTACAATGGACGTTATTTTGAAATTTAGGGTTGAACAAAGTAATTTGTTTCTAAAATAGGTCTCTTCTACCTTGAAAGACATACCATGTTTCATAAACATTGGTTTGAACAGTTCAAAGATAAAAGTGACTATGTAAAAATACAAGGAAAATATCAGATCCTTAACACCATCATATTAAAACACAGATCACGTTAAAAAACGATTAAAGAAAATTCCTAATTGTCTGTTCAATTTAGACCATAAAGCCATGGACCCCGGTATTTGGCTGTTTACTTTAAGAGACACCCTGTAGTTAACACAGAATTAGTTTAACAACATTTTTACAGTGTCTCATACAGCTACTATCTTAGACTAAAGATAGAAATATACCTTATATTCAGGTACTATCTTATGTTGTTGCCCATTTGAGAATAAAAATTTGCATGAAAGAATAATGTGAAACAGTAGCATACTCACGAGTGGCTCCTACAACACACTTTTTCAACTTGAAATTAGCTACAGCTGGTCCATTTTATTGTATGATTCTGTATCCGAAATTCAACAATCCGACTATCGACATAACCTTGGTATTTTTTTTGTTATAGCATTTAGGTCTCCAAAAGTATTTTGTGCATTGTAAGGGTCATGATAACTGCTATCGCTATATCAGTTACTTCAGAAAAGGCTCACCTTTAACTAACTCTTTTGTAGTTTCACAATTGTTTACAAAACGCAAACTTAATCTTCGAAACTATTACAAGGGTCACTCACTGAGGTGATGTGTTGCGAGAGGCCAAGTCAATGACGAGTATACGGTTGGCAGCAATGACAGCGAGTGCCAGGTGCAACAACTGTCGCTGAGCCACTGTGAACGTCTTGTCCCAGTGACGAGATTCTGTCAGAAGACCAAACGGCAGCTCGGTCACTGCATCAAGGAGCCTTACCTGTATGAAAACACCAGTGTTGGAAATTAAAACACAATGAGCTTCAAGACACAATCAGACTCCCATTTACGTTCAGAGGCTAAAATCTAACAAAACTAAGAACTTAATTAAATCCTGAAGATAAATCGCGAACGACGTAGAAAATTACTACAGTTAAAAATACAAAGTTAAATGCACCACCATTGTTGCAATCGCGATGAAATTCTACATCATAATGATACTACATACACCATATATACACAACCAAAGCATTGGTTACACAACAAAGGGGAAAAAACATAGTGAATCATAGATGAAATACAAAATGGTAATTACTAATTACTGGGAACAGTTAAAATAATAATAGTCCGGACAAAGTACAAAAAAATACAGGCTGAAGAGACCAACTGAAGTTTATTAATAGGGGCTCATATTTCACTAAAACTTTATGATCGTGTCACATCACAAAAATTTTTATTATTTAAAATTTTTAGTTAGACAAATGAGGAACTCTTAACCAAACGATGTAAAAGTAATTAGTAAATTGACAATTTCCTGGCATTCAGTTTCTTTCAAAAAAGGAGTAGATTTTAAACTCACTTTATCAATGGCTTCCCACAGCTGGGAGTCAGTCAGCTGATCGTGAGGGTCGAGGTTTGTCCTCAATATTCCCGCGAAGAAGATCGGATGTCGAGGAATCACAGATATTCTCGACCGAAGGAGTTTGATTGACACGTTTCTTGTGTCTAGTTTGTCAATGAGAACACATCCTCCTCCAGTGGGCTCCTCAAGCCTCAGCAGTGCTGCCAACAGTGAGGACTTGCCACTCCCCACAATACCAACCTGATGACAAAAAAAATCCAACGTTTCTTAGTTTTTTTCACATTTTGACTGTTTGAAAATATTATGGGGATTTAATAAAGCTTCAAATACCCAAATATCCAAAGTTTCTTTGGTACATGAAGAAAGATGGTTATCGATTTCCGTGCTTACTACTCCAGACTTCCCAGATGTATGTGCCATGTATGTGCCAGCTATTAAAAATTCTTATTGAATCAAAATCAAATCATATCATTTATTTGTCTTTTGGATTTTCACAAATCATTGATAAAGTCAACACATCAGCCTATGTATAGGCCTACGTCATATACATACATACTACACATCTACAATACAATATAGTATAGGATTAAGTAAGTTATCTAGAGGATGTAAAAATTAAAATGATAAATTAACTTAACTTTTTCTCTTTTACGCTATCTATTAATAAAACATAAAAACATTTAAGAGCTTAGTAAATTTCTTAAAATGAAGGGAAAAAAGAAAAAAACAATGAAATAATATTAATTAGGAATAGTTGAATTCCAACAACAGTAATTAAATACAAACAAAAATTTGTTCAAGTTTTTTTTGTCAAGCAATATTTTATGGGATATTGAAATAGAACATTAGTTAAATGAACCCACTCGCAAGTGTGGTACCTTCAACACTCTTTTTCCTCTCTCAGTGTTAACAATTTTGTATGAATGGTGTGGCGTAGAAGATATTATTTTTTACAACTTATATAAAATTGTTCTTTCAGTTTAAATTGGTTACAAAATTAGGATTTACAACAGGAATCAGAAATTGACTGATTCGATATTTTATTGGCAAATCTATTCAACTGCCTGCCACGGCCAATACTTTTACCAAAACCAGACATAAAGTGCTGAACAAAAATTGTTGCAAGACAAAATTAATTCTCAAAAATTAAAATTCTGCAGCTTACAGTTTCCCTGGGTTTGATGGTGAAGTTGAGGTTTTCCAGGGTTGCGTGGGTCCCCAGCTTGTTGGTCAGGGTTAGATTTGTTGCTTGGATCTCCCCAGAGTAAGGCCATCTTTGGGACACCACAGGGAAGTCTGAGTCTCCAGCAACTGTGAATGAAGGATTTGATTTATTAATATACCACCAAGTCTGTTTTTCATTCAATGCAAGGAAAGTTCATGGCAAGTACACAGCACTGGAAAAGAGAAACTGATTTTGTAACTGGAAACGAGAATTTTTCCAGCGAAGGAGAAACTGAGTAAGTAGGTAGGATTTTTATTTTGAGAGCTTCAGAAGAACGATCAATGAAAAATGTACACAATCACTAAATTTTCAACATCCCACTGTTCCCAAACGAAAAAAAAATTGTTACATTTCAAGCTTTGAACAAAATTGGATTGTTATTTCGTCCAAATATAACCTGCTTGAGGTAGACCTACAGGTGAAAAGAATTTCTTAACGTTTTACACTCCATAAACACCAAAAAGAAAAAGAGGAAAAGAAAAGAAGAAAAGGAGGAAAAAGGAAGACAACAAACAAAAAAAGAAGAGAAAAAAAGAAACCAATAGAGAAGAAAGAATAAAGAAAGAAAGAAAAGAGGAAGAAAAAGATTAAGAGAAGTAGGTAGGGCCTAGTTAACAAAAATTAAATTATAGATCTATAAACTTGTACAATTAATACGAGTGGGTCTATACAAACATGCTGCAAACATGTTTAATCTCATATATGTTTAGACGAATCAGTATTTTTTTTTCTTTTAATCATTTTCTTCTACACTAAAAAAGATCAAGGTCGGTAACATTGCAGCCTCGAGCGTATTAAAAATCTTAAACTTAAAAAATATGAAACATTCTTCCTACTTACATGCGGGGTTGACAGTGCCGTTGACAACATCAGTGTTGGGTTGGTAGGCCTGAGTAGCAGACACGTCAGCTGTTTCCCTGGGCAGTTGGCAGGCCTGGACCATGTGTCTGATAGTTTCCACCAAACGAGAGGTCAGAGTGGAGTCAGACACAAGGAATGGTACGAGGTTGGTGACCACCAGACAGGAGTAGGTGCCCAGCGCTACCACTGACCTCTCTACTTCTGTGTAGAAATACAGCAACGTGAGTAGTGAGTTTCGTCACTAGTGTGTCTAGTTCAAGTTTTTGTTATATATAGTAGGAAAATAAGGGAGGATTAGTCAGGCACATTTTACCTCGTCAAAAAAATAATTCTAGTTTCAAAACCCCATGAGAGACTTTCCCCATTTACATGTTTGAAGATTGAATCCAAAATATGCCTTGAGTATAACTTTATATTTATCTGTTCTCTTAAAAGTTTCTGCATCTTGCAATCACATTTTGCTCTACCAATACGTGGCTTTGCTTGCCAAAAAGTAAATAAGTATGAAATCTACTTACCAATAAAGTAGAACACTAGGGTGATACAAGAAGTGAAGGCGACACAAGCTAGACTTAGCCACAAACTGAGAGCTTCTGTGACGGACTGTAGAAGAAACAGAGCAGAAGAGTGTCTGTCCTGCATAGAAACAATATATAAATTATATAAGTAGACGTTCTAAACTCATAAAACAATTAAAAAACTACAATGCAAATTTCTAATCTCACATTATACTAGATATTTAAATTACAATCACTTTGGTATTTGAAAAGATTTGTTAGGTGGTATATAACTCTTCAGCGGCTGTTTGAAAATAACAAAATTAACATTAACTCTATGGCGGGTAAATCCAAAATGACCGTTGGCTTCCATACACTCCCTTGGAACTAATCTAATTCAAAACAACAAACAAGACTTCTAATCTCACAGTGTACTAGATATTTACATTATAATCACTTCTGTGTTTGAAAAACTATTTTTGGGTGATAATTAACTTTTCAGTAGCTATTTGAAACTATCCAAGATGGCCGCTAGCCTCCAAGGACTCTTAAATGTATTAAGTTATCCAAAGGGCTGTGAGGTGTGTAGGATATTCTTCCATGCTAATCAGAAATTGTAAACTAAAACATATATGTTTTATTACAACAGTTGAAAAAATTGCTGTGCTTCCAACTGAAAAATATACTAATACTGTACTTCCAGACAGGATCCCAATCACCATCTAAAACAAGAATAGCTTTATCTTGCTGCGTAAAACATGATACCTAGCTCTAACTCTTGAAAAAATATGTGTAACACTCTCATCAATAATTATGTTACACTTTTTTAAAGGATAACATCAACAAATATGTCCCTTCAATTTATTCAAATTATCAAACAATAAACTAAACATAGCTGAATAAATCAAGATTAGTTTTTAATTGAAACGATTTGTATTTAAATCAACCCTTAAATTTGCTGAAATCACCCGATAAACACAGCAAACTCAATTTCCATCAACAAATGTTTGTAAAATGTAGTTATAATCGCGAACTGATTGCAATATCCAGGAATGCAATTATGATGACGTTTTTAAACAACCAATTCCGTAACAACCCTTTATTGAAGAATATTTAACTATCAGTTGATTGCTTCGTTTAAAATATTAACAGATAAATTAACAAGCTTAATAACTTATATCGTGCAAACATGTAATATCCGTTGGTAATTAAATTCTAAAATTAGATGGATTAACATATTACTTTTTAATATTCATTGCATTTTCATAGTTTTAATTACGAAATAATCAATAGATATTGTATCGTATTTTATTTAACTACATTTAGGATTGATATTAAGATTAAGATTGATTTGTACCTGATGATCGGCAAACTGGCGTCTGTAGAACTCTGCAGCTTTTAGTGAACGAATTGTTACAATCTCGTCTTCACTCATCTGGAAGTAAGCTTCAACTGGCCGCCACACTGCGAAATCAGAATCAGAAAAATATTGATCCCGTTATGTAAATGATTCTAAATATAAACCATTATATAAATTAGTTACCTATACAAAATTATAAACATGAAAGCCAATACAGTCTCAAACAAAGAACTAAATCATAAAACTCAGAATAAGATTACATAGAGTTGGGTAACACAGAATAAGATTTTGTATAGGAACAGAAAACACAGAATCATAAAAAATAGTACAATCTAATCAGAGCAAATCAGAAAATAAATAAAAACTATGAACCAAAGAGAAAAATTAGGAAGCCACTATGCACAGAATCAATACATATATAATCAAAATGTATGCTGCGAGATACATCCGTCTACATACTACAAAATATATTACAGAGTGTGCAACAGCAATGTGGCATACGTTGACGTATGCCTATACACAATTCATTGTCACTTGTATGCATAATGGATATGTCCACTCTCCACTGTATGAATTGTTAATGTACCATCCAAATGAGCATCATGTTAAACAGAGTGGTGAAGTGTAATATAGGGAATATTTATAACCACCCTGGAGGAACTTTCTATATTTGACACTTAGAATGAAACCATCACACGATTAGGAGTATTTTTATATAAAAGTCTGTTTTCTTTTTGGTCTATCTACTTACTATAAACTTGTACGCCAACATATATAAATTTTTATTGTTTTAATTAGCACCATACACTTATTTGGTGTACTGTTTTAGAAAAATATCAGTTTTAATTGAAATGAAATTTGTCAACTTAACATAGTATTACAACTTTTCAGGGCATGGCTAAATTTTCATTTTAATACATGGGTTTTAGTATCCACCGTGGTTAGAATCCATAATGGTTTTGAATCACCTCGTCAGTAGGAGACTAATGTAAGAGTGAAAATTTAAAAACGTACGTTTTCATGTCCCTGGCCTTTTACTTCGTAGATACTGGATTTGTAGTTTATTATTATGTGTTTTAATATTTTTTGGGACGGGGGCAACATGTTACACACATTTATTTTTTTTTAAATAGGTTCTAGGTATTTTTTTCGTATTTTTCAAGTCTCGAAATTCACGACCATGACGTGTCCCTAGGGTACATTTTCCAACTTTCACGCTGTTTTTAAACTAATTATTCATGCCGAAATATATAAAGCCATATTTTTATGTCATCAATGGTTATTAAACTTACAAAAAAGGAGCATATTATAATTTTATTGTCATTACAAACTGACTACCATGACAAAATAAGTCTGTCCCTCGATTTGGCGTCACGACCATTTGGGAAAAATTTTCAACTTTGGAGCACGACAGTGGCAAGCCTGGCATCGATGGAGTCAGTTGGTTTTAGAGACTAGTTCGGGGTGTATGTCAGGGTTGTAGTGCCGGTCGTTTCGAGTTGAAAGGAGGAATATTACAAGATTAATAAAGAAAAGATTGTGTTTTTTGTAATTTTGGTGTGTCCATGACCGTACGTAGTCATTCGATGAAGTAGACATGGTGTTAATTTTTGTTTATAAGATATTTCAATTGCTAGATTAACCTAGAAGTCCACTTTGTATCCTCGAACATGAGGTGCAGGGCTACCGCCAGAACAGAGCCAAATAACACGGAATTTCACGACCAAAGTTTCACGACCATCGCAGGTTTTTTCACGACCAATCCAGCCTTATGGATTATAGTGTGTTTGGTCGTGACAATAAATTTAATATAATTGTAAATTGAACAGTTTAGTTCAATTGAAACACATATTTTTATTATAACTAACAGGATAATTGAAGGATTGTTTAGATAGATTTAGATTATTCCAGACAATTCACGACCGTATAGCTTGTCCCTGACCATCACGTTTATGATTTCTATCATAAAAATTTCAAAAATTAATATATCGTCATATTTCAATGTTTTATACACAAAAGAAGCACACCTCTATATAAACATAACGATTTTTCGGGTCTCAGGTAAGTTTTTTCGGAGTTATACAAACTTAAAAAGATGTTATTGGCTTTTTTTAAATTTCTTGAGTTTTTTTTATTTTTTTCTAGAAAGACCAAATATACCAAAAGCTCAGTGACCTTTTTATTGTATAATGGTCATAAAAGTAAATAAGTTTATAGCAAAACATAGTTATAAAAATAATATTAACTATTTTTAATATTCATTTAAACGTCCGTTATGGTCGTGACAGGATTTTGTGTTTTCCCACTAAAGATGCTCTTTTAAAAAGAAACTACCAAAGATATTGCGTTACCATGGACATTTTATGAAACTTCAAATGTTAATGAAATAAAAATAATAATAAAAGTTTTGAAAAAAGGGGAAAAGAATTTGCAAAGTGCTTTTCCTGGAAACGTACGTTTTTAAATTTTCACTCGTAAACGTTTCAGTTTCGTCCATACTTTGAATATGCATCCTCAGTAGCTAGGTTGAATAGGTTAAGTTTATTTGAACTAAAAGTACATGTGAATAAAGATGAAATTGAATGATTCACTCTGTCTCAGTCTAGGCACTGAAGATTGTAAAGAAAAATAAAAAAGCTTTTTGACTTATCTATTTTGTACTGAAATGTAACTACTTTATTTCCTTACTTAATTGATCATTCCATCAAATAAAATCATCTCACACCTTTATGTAATACAATTTAGGTATTCCATACAGGTGTGAGTGTTATAAAAAGTTGTCCCCTGGTGGGGTTTGAAAATGAAATTTAATTGTTAAATCAGACAACTGAGGACCAATCACAGAGCAGTGCGCAGTGGAATTAAAGATGTTAAGTGGGCCCTGTAATTAAATATCCCAGAAGTCCGATTTATGGACCGTGAGAGGTCTGATATGTTGTCCTCCTTCACAACTTCTTCAGCTTAATTCTAACACTTCTTAAAAACTAATAGATGTGTTTATTTGAACACTCCATGAATTGAAATGTGCTACTCTGATGAAAGATTGTGACGTGAATTGACACTCTGTAAAACTATAAAATTGTAAATAATAATATTGAAGTATTGAATGAAAATATTTATGAAACTGTTTGTTCAGGAAATATTTATCAAAAGTATGACTTCAAGATGTTCATATATATGGATTCGGTTAAGCCGATTACTCATGAAATCACAACTTGATATTGAATATTATGAACTAAACTTATAAAAAATGCACTGTCAAAATATATTTATAAAATGTGATCATCAACACTCATTGTGTATACTTTGTATACTTCTTTCAGTTAAGCCATTTACCTCTTTAATTTATACCAGATTGATACTAATAATACTAGCTGAAACACAGGTGAATGAAAAGATGGATTTTTTTAAAAATTCTGTATAATGAATTTGAAATTGAGCTGTGACATGAATTGAACATAACTAATACTACTATTGCCTATTGTACACAACGTTTAATATTTTGAGAAAGAGAGAGTGAGAGAGTTGATTGTTTGTTCTATTGGCAGTTTCTCATCTTTAAAATACAAAGTCTCGGGAAACCTAGCCTTGACAACCTTATATATTTATTTTAGATCACCAGACTCCCCAAAGATGTCCGTGTTTATCAAACTGGCCAGTTTACAATTTAATCAAACAGGGACTATTATGTAGTTTGTGACCTACATCACTCCTTGCTGATCAATGCAACGGGGCCAATCGACTACTGAGTCGATTAATTGATAACTTTTACTTAGTATTTAATGTTTATGAATTTAATGGGAGTCTATCCTCATGACCCTTCATCAACCCTAGCCTTCGACCGAGCACTCTGTACCCCCATTTACGTTATACAATCAAACTCTCACTATTAAAAAATGTAACACTCTGTTCAAAATTATTACCTTACATGAAATACAAAACGTTATAAATAATAATACTGATGATGATAGAATTTGACCTTAGCATAGAACACAAAATAATAATATCACAGATAATCATTGTTCTTAAAACTAATAGACCATTTCAATTTAATTTAATAAATAATTTTCAATTGACTATAATTACTAATGTAACTTAAATTCTTTGCATGACATGATAAAATTCAATTAAATATTTTTCATCCTGAATTGTGACCATGTGCTCAAGGTGTACCAAATGAAACATGAAATATTCAAACCAACCAGGACACGATTATAACTTGTAAAACTAGTGGAACATGTGAAAAAATAGCAGATTGGCAGGACTACGTTAATACTAAAACACAAATATTACAATACATTTACTTACGTACACATGTCGACACATTCACATTCATTCCGACGAAGATTCACGCGTACCGAACATTTAAAAACTGACTCATGGTAATTTTGACTTTCTGTCTGACCGAGCGGAATATCACGACACGGTTTTTTCTGGTGTAGGACTTATTAATTCTTGTTTTTTCGAGCTGGCGTTTAATAATTCAATTGAAAATACCGTCACGACGACCCGCGATTCACTAGAAATTGACATTTGCTATCGATATGATGCATGTACGAATTTTCATCACGAACGCGAACAATCAATCCGGCATTTCAACTGTCTCAACTTAATACTAATAAAACACACCCCCAAATGCAATTCGGCGAAATTTTGACAATTGCGATCATTTGATGCACGTACAATTTCCGCCCGAACGCGAATTTCCGAGCTACGAATGAAGATATTAATAAATTCGTCCTACACCAGCGACAAAACGCGACTTTACATGTTGACTGCGCGATTACTGAGCCACGAGTGACGACGAGACGTTTGCACACGGCACGGCTCCCAACGGTCTTCCAGTTCGTATCCTTCCGCGTTACGTCGTGTTGGACTGACTTGTCCATTGCCTGTCGCGGATTTTAAATCTTTTGATTTAAAAATCGGCACAAGATGCCTATTCAAAGTTTGGACAAAAAGTCTCACATTATAGTATTCAAATGAAGATGCTTTAAACTCCAAAATCCCATTTTTGGTGGATATTTTTTCCCGTATAATTAGCTCCGGAAAGTAAATAAAAGAAACGTCTTATAACACTTAAAGTTGATTAATGAACAAATACATTTTGATTCCAGTTGTACTTATAAAAATGTATTGGCCGGTGCTTCCGGTAGCCAATAGGGTATAAGTAGGGACGCCATTAAGATTCTTGTCATTCGCCTATTGGGTCTGATGATGATTGGAGTGTCCAATCGAAATCGATCACCACTTACCATTTGTTTTGTATATTTACTGTCTTGTGAGTAGCAGTATAAGCGTAAATATATCTTTTAAGTGTTATAAGACGTTTCTTTTATTTACTTTCCGTAAATTTAATAACACGTACAATGCTGATCAAGAAGTTATTTATTAGATCTCTTAACATTTCTCCTCTCTTAACCTTAAATCGGCAAATAAAAGGCTTACGTTTAGTCTCTATGGTCTCCAGCGCCTTGGTTGTTGGAAGGCACAATGTGAAGAGGTAGACGGTGAACACTGCCAAGACCAGTGTAGGGATGATGAACCAGTAGTAAGCGACAACCACCAGCCCCAGACAACCAACCAGCAACAAGCTATGCTGCCAAACATGCCGTTATCAACCACTTGACCGCAGTAAACAACCTTACCTAACCAACCTACCAAAACCAACCTAAAATAGGCTAACATAACCTAATATAACCTATCCTAGCCTTATACCTATTGTAACGGTTATTTATATGACATGTAGTTGTTAAATTCTTCCACAAAACGGCCTACCAGCACACTAACAATGCGCAACCTAACCAAACATAACCTAACCTAGCATAACCTAACCACTAAACTGAACCATTGATACGGTCATAAGGTTAAAAGCAGATTTCAAATCAAATCATTCTTTATTTTGTAGTTTCATTAAGAAAAATAGAATGGTGTCAATAAAAATAAATTTAGCTATGAAATTCACAATTTACATCTGTACTTTAGCACGAGCTGTTAAGAATCATGTCATACTATATTATAAACGTAATCTTTCCATAAATGCAATTTTGTATTATTTGAAAATTGTTTAGTTACATTTTTATTAAAGCGTCATTTTAGACCAATCGTTACATGTTTCAATGAGGAGACATCATGATCAGATACAAGTGTAGTTCTTCAGCCAGTAGCATTTTCAGAAAGTTTGAATAGATAAAACACATTTCTCTCGTTCAAAGTATTTATATGTTCCCAGTTATCCCAATGCAGAGAGATCATACGTACACAAATAGGCATGTTTTTGACTCATTATAAAAATAATCCTTATCGGTGCCTTAATGTATGCAAGGAGAACTCTATGAGTACTTAGTGATGATTTCTTGAGATTGAAACATTTACAGATTTAACTAAAATCGAGATGCACTGGTAGACAAATTATTAAATTAATACAGTTTATCAAATTCTTAATATCATAATTTAAAAAGGTAATCTTCTGACGAGTATTTTAAAGGTGTATTTTGCCTTCAAAATACAAGTAAACAGATAAGCATTATCTAAACAAGAACTTCTAGTAAGTTTGTGTAGTAGTTATGGTCACTTGTGTAAATTTATAAAAACCCTTTACGTAGTAGGAATTCAGAACTGATTTTTACCTGAATTAAATTAAGAAAGGCAGGAACCAAAAACTCATCCAACACACGAACATCTTGCGATAGACAGCTGAATATCTTGTCTGTGAAAACACACAAATTACAAAATATCATATGCTGTGACTTATTAAAAAAATTACAAAAGTTTGAAAATTCAAATTAGTTCTTTTAAACATATTTGAAGTATCATATAAACGAGACTAGCACGAAGGTCTTTTTGTAGTACAATAATTTAATTTATCTGTGACATCTGATGTTTATTACTCTAAAAATAACTCAAGTACACTATTTCATTACTCAAAAATCCAGTTGCGTTATTTGTAATTTTGTAACTCTCTATCCAGAGGATAAAGATTAAATTTATTATTAAAACGAATGTAACATTTTAGTAATTATTCCTACAATACAACTCATTATTGTGATAATATATGATTGGATGGATAAATTAAACTCATTTAAAAACATTGCTAAGCTATCATTAGTTTCAATAATTAATAGGTTTGATTTTTACAACAAATATTTTCAATGATCCTCAAATCTTCCATAATCTTTTCCCTCTTTAACGTACATTTTTATTTAGCTAATATTTATTCTATAATAAAATAAACTCAATTGAATAAAATTATTGTATTAGCTTTCATTATTTCCTTGAATTTTTTTTTAACTTACAAAAATATCTGTCTTGTATTAAAATCCATAGATTTTATTTCAACTATTCGTTAATAATATTTTGTAAAATCCCATCAGTTAAATTAATCTCTTTTATCGTTGTGTGAATTTCCTAAACACGCCACATTCAGATATCTCTGTAAACGTAAACCTGGTAACTTAAGTTACAAGGCTGTACAAAGACTTAATTTGCAAAACGCTCGGGACTTGTTTCACTTACAAAAACAATCTCTGCTCCCAGCCCCCGCGAGACTGCAGCCTCATAAATGTTATTTATACACTCTAACTCAAACATGCGTTCACTGGAAATTACAAAGTAGAGACAAGAGATGTGTTAAAAATGCATGTGTTAAAGATTCTTGCTGAAGTTTTCAAATGTTTTTGTTGTTTTTTTTTTTTCAATTTTCACGATGCACCATATAGGGTGGCTGAGAAGTAACTTGCACCTTAACTTTTAACCATGTGAGATATTTAAAATCGGTTTGCGGCAACCTCCTTAGATATGAGGGGCTACAATAATGATGATCAATTTTGAAGATTTCGTCCTCAGCGGTAGTCGTACGGGGGAGTTAAAAAATTTAAAGTAGGAAGTATAGTCGACTTTGGCTTCAAGGGTCTTGACAAAACTAAACGATTGACATAAAGAAAACAAAAATCATACAACTAATAAAAAAATTGCATCCTAAAACGATTCAAATCCAATTGGTTTTGTAAAAAACTACTTTTAATAACCAGCATCTTAAACATGTTTAGCTGCCATTTTGTTATTAGTGGTCCAATTTTTATTTTCTTTAGGCCAATTGCTTAGTTTTGTGAAGATCTTTAAAATGATACCAAAGTCAACTATACTTAGCATATGAAAGTTTTGAGCTACCCCCTAACCCCACTACCCTTTAAGGAAAACTTTAAATACTAACCATAGTTATTGTAGCACTTCATATCTAATAAGGTTGTCGCAAACAGATTTAAAATATCTCAAATGGTTGAGAAGTTAAAAGTATGGTGCAGGTTACTTTTCAGCCACCCTGTATAGCTAATATCACATAACACTTTTTTTCTGTGCTAATATGTGTTTCAAAGTTATTCATGGATCGTTTAAACTGAATCACTTTATTTTTTTGCAAATAAACTAAAATTTGATCTGTATGATAACGAGTCAGATAATAATGTAGATTAAATATTAATTCCATAAGCTTTCTCGTTAGCTTGCTAAGGATTTTTGTTAACTTAACTCTAGCGACCAATTTTTTAACAGTGTAGATTGTTAAATACCTTTATGGTAAATTTTCTTGTACTAAACTTTCTGGCAACAAGCGTTCTAATGGTGTAGAGCTTTCCAGTTGTAAACGTATCTCATTAAAACGTAAATGAGTGTTTTAACTGTTTTCAAACTAACTGTTCAATGTTTAATGAACAAAATCTACCATCTTTGATGTTTTTTTAGCGTTTGGAATAAAAGTATTTTATTTTAAAATTTTTGTGAAATTTAAAAATATTGAATCTTATTTTTAACTTTTGGTAAAAATTTTAACAAAAATTGAGTCAATTCTATTTTTAATATATATGTGGAACGTGGCATGGCTACAAGTAAAAATTTAACATGATGTACCTTTACTTTACATAACATTTCACTTACTAAGAATCTGTTGATCCAACAATGTTATAGGAGTATGGAGGAAAGCCTTGACTAGAGAGTCATGTATAAAGTTGACAGCTCTGTTCAGCATCACTGATATGTTATAGTTGACAGCAATGCCTGTAAACATGTTCAATTATAACTGTAAACATGTTCAACGATAACTGTAAAAATGTTCAACTACAACTGTAAACATGTTCAAGTTTAACTGTAACTGTAAAACATGTTCATCTACAAGTTTTCACAGAACGGTGTAGTAATTACATTGAAATAACATTGTTTCCCAGGAAAATAGGAAAAACAACAGCTGTAACAATCGTTGACCACTGACAGGATATTCAAATTTTTACTGCATACAGGCTGTATGCTGTAAAGGAATATACGTCATTTTAAACTAAAAATACAATGTATATCAACAATTAAAGATATTATTAAGAAAGGGTGTAAACAAGTTTCAAATATCTCAGATTCAAAATAAATCCAACAGTTAAAAGTTTAAAAGCGAGAGCAAAAGTTGAGAATAATGTATTGTTCTAAAGCTCCTTAAAACTTTACTTGTCGGCAGGTTAGCAGTCGGTTAAGTTAGTGTTTAACTTTGTTTACTTACTTGATTGTGTTTTAATAAGCCAAATGACTCAAGTTAAAAGCATTTTACACCTGTTGAAATATTAAATTTTTTGCTATGAATGTTACCAACAAAATTTTCCTTATATAGAAGTTTCATTTTATTTTACAGTCTACAAAATCAAAATAAGGTGTTAACTATTATTTGCAGAACAATCGTTGTTTTTTAGACACTTTTGATACGTCTCTTCTCAAACTTAATGGTAAATATTTTTCACTTTCGCAAACTTCTCATAAGAAACTAATTTTATCATACAAACATTACAGTAGTACATACGTTTGAACATTAAACATACATTTAGTAAACTAATATATCCAGCAATGTTTAAATAACACAGCACAGAGCACTTGGATTAATATCGTAAGAAAAGTAAATATTGTAGCATTTTCTTGCATGGATAGTAACACTTCTTTTTTTATTAAGTGTATGTTACAATGAAATTTTAATCTAAAATTATGATTAACAGTAAAATTAATGCCCTTTTCATATCAGCTCAAATAATCATATAAACTAGTTACGAGAATGTACTGAAGTTAAAATTCAAAGGTAAAAAACAAACGGAATATTTCACGAGTTGCTGTAATACATGTCAACACGCCACTTCACACTTCACACTACTTGCGATGACAACCCAAGTGGAAATAAACTTTAGAATTACACCCGGAACAAGATGAGATAATCAACATGTGTGGAATAGTACGTTTGTTTACATTGTTTATCCACAACGTAAACAATTATTGTAATCACAACAATAGTTTAACCTGGCAATTAATTGTATCAACATCGCTAATGTTTCTGTTGCTAACATTTTTTGTACTTGTGAAGAACTTTAAGTAGCTTAGTAATTACTTTTGTCTAAATTTTAATTCTGTTAACCCGCCTCTGAGAATGTAGATAGTAATTATCGTTATTCTTTAAAATGTTTGTACCGATTCTGATTAAAATTCGAATTCCGATTGATATGCTATGCTATTAATATTAATCAATAAAAATGTGTTAATTATTTTCTTGAAAAGTTAGTTAGGCGTACATTATTACACATACATTATGTACATTATGCAACACATATATTCTGAAATAAGGTTGCTGCAAAGCAATCTTTTTCTTATTCCAATTCTAGTTGAAATTCTGATTCTTGATTTATTTCATTTCAATGAAATTTCTTAACCTAATTTTTATTAGAAACTGAAAGAATCCTGATTATAACTTTATTTAAAATCTTGTTAAAAATTTATTCTCAATCTCAATTCTGATTCCGATTACTCCATAATGAAACCACAAATACAATCATTATTAGAATTCCGATTGAACCTCTAAATCTTACACCCTGGAAAAATGTATACATGTTATTAGCAAGTGGCTTAAAGTTAAGGCATTTCATACCACTGAAGAGTACCTGAGCTGTGACCCTCAAGACATTATCTATTGATTTGTGTTAATACTTTGACGACACCTATTGTATACTGCATATTTAATGGTGAATAAATTCTTGATTCTTGATTCTTGATTCTTGATCTTACTTAGGTGAAAATTCCAACCCCGATTTTTATTTGGATGCTAACTCCTACTACTTACTCCCATGCAAATTCCACCCCTGACTAAAATTCCGATTACATTTATTACTCTAATTTCGAGTCCCTTTCCGATTCCACAAACAAATATTCTGATTCTGTTGCTCACCCGCCAGCACGGCGCCGGTGGAAAGGTACCACAGTGCTGGTAGTGGCGTGTCCTCCTCGTTCAATGGAGTCTTCAGCCAATCATCCCACAACAGTGTGCTGTTAGTACCCAGACTGCAACAGTACATCAACTGACGTCAACCAACATCCGTAAAGAGGACAATTTCAAAAACATTTAATTTTTTCAATGATATAAAATTTAATTCTTTAACAGAACTAATGATAACAAACCATTGAAATTTCTAAGTAGGATATCATGTTTACTTCTCCGCTGTACATAGTATATAGAGAAAGTTGTGTTTTTGCCAACATTTTCAGTTTGAGTTTTCGATGGATAGATAGATGGAAATGGCGTTTTGTGTTCCCCTGAACCAACAAGGTTTTTTCGAAATGATTTCTGGGTTTGTCTGTGCTATCCTATAAAAGCCTCGGAATAATCGGATCTTTACAAAAACAGCAAGAATTCTTTTAATAATGATATAAAAAATTATTTTAATAAAACTTTAGTATGTTATGGTCATTTTAAATCTAAACAAAATGGTTTCCCCAATGCTATAAAAATTACAGTTTGACATTTACTCCAACTTTGGTTATTTTATCCATAAAGTACCATATTTACTCCGACCACAAAAACCATGATAAAGCTTGTTGACAAGCCAAAACGAAAAGTATGTGTCAGATTGATGATATAGTTTGTTCGTCTTCTGATCACTTTTGTACTAAAAGGTTGAAATAACTGGAGGAGTTGGATTCATTTGGACGATCAAGCTTCAGTTTCAACGGAATTTTAAAATATACTGAATCTTCCGCATATCTAGGAAGACACGAGCATAATATGTTTGTGTCCATGACTATGACGACTCTTCAAATGATGAGAAGAGTTCAATAACCTAGTATGACCTAATTTTTATGCATTAAACCAGTAGTCACCAAATATAGCCAGGAGCTATTGGCTGTAATCCAGGTAAGTCAACCATTAATTAAGAAGGATAGTATTAATTTTGTTGCAGGATATAACCTCTAATAATTTTTTTTACGAAGAACCAGTGACTGAACCAAAACTTAAGTATATAAATTATTAAGTGCTGAAGAACCGTTTTCTCGTGTTACAGAAGTGATTGTTGTAAAAGTTGAAAACCAAGGATAATATTTGGCCAACCAAAAACTTCTTGGAAACATTGGAGTTCCTTACTGAAGAAGCGAATGCTTGAAATTCAAGTAGTTCATAAAGTTTTAATGCCTTATACATTAAGAGGATTTCCTGGTTTTTTACCTTGGTAAAACTTCTTCCACTTAAACTAAAGAAGTTGTCTTCAACTTATACATTATTCCAACTTTTATTTTAGCGTACTTCAATGGGTGTGGAATCGTAATAAGATACTTATTCCAGAGGTTTCTTGCAATTAAATATTTACTAAAAAAATTTGAGCTTAGTTCTTAAATAAGTTCTTAACTTTATCACCCTATAGTTGTATGTGGACAGTATTATTTTAGCTAAAATTTTACAATTTGAAATGTCGAATGATTATTATTATCGAATAATTATGGGATGATATTAAAAGGTGTTATAAATCAAAGAATATTTTTATATTATTTCATATTTTATCGAAGCGTTAAGAGAACTATCTCATCTGGTGATCAATTCCATTTTTTCAAGCGACAACAAAAATACACAAACCGGATATTGTTAGCACAGTCAATATGTAGAAGGGAAATGGAAAACCGAACAACCAAACGCATGACATGTATGACGGATTGGAAATGAAAGATGTCTCGTTGTAAATATATAGGATCTCAAATGGGTACATCTAACATCTGAGTGTTATGAATATAAAAGATAAGGCGTATATTACGGCAGTAAGAAAAGCTGGAACGAATATATTTTAATAATGATGTTTAAAATTGTTATAGTGATCTATTATACTATTTTAGTGATACAGTCAAATTTGTGTTTATCGCACAATTTAATTAGTAGGTCATTGACCTAATAATTTTCAAATTTAAAAAAATACCGTATGACATAATGGCACATCAAAATGAAGCTCAGAGTGTATAGATTTTCCAAAAGGTATTGTTATGAACAAATTTCCTGGTTCTACCCCAAAGGTCGATTTCCAAAGCTTATATTCATTCTCATTGCATATTGTTAACAGTAAAAATTATCATTTATTTGATAATTGACACTGAATTAATTGTTTTGACTTTTTCTTGAGTATATTCTTGGGTATTCTTGGGTGTATTTATTTATATGCAAGTTTTATTTACCACTTAAATTATTTATGTCATTCCTGTTTTAGTAAAATATAGTAGGTCAATTAGGGTTTTTAAGAAATCTTTCAAATAAGTTGCTCTTTACCGAATCTCATGATGAAATCTAACAGTACCTAATATTCTTAATATTAATAAGTCATGTCTATCTCAAAGTGGTTTCCTTCCACTTTTTAAAAATGTCCTCATTATAGTACATATATTTCTTTTTACTTCCTAGATATTGGTAAATTTTGTTGTTCTTTGTTTTTTTCCACAACAATTATTGAGCTAAAGCTTTGATTTATAATTCATTTGCTATCCTTTTCAGAGGAATTTTTGTTGTTATAAGTTTTAGTTGAGACTCCCGCCCACACAGAGAAGTTTTGTTCTTCTTTTGGGTGTGTATATTATTTTATAAGTTAAAAGCAAATTGTTTTCGTTAAACAGTAAAATAATTGTTTATGTACATTTTTGAGTTGGAAACAATTTGTACAATTTGTACCACAACCTTCCAACAACACACAACACAATACAATTTGCACAAACAATTTGTTGGATCTTGGTACTTATATTGTAAATTAAAACTTGTATTGTGGAGAAATAAAGATTTATTATTATTAATTATTATAATTTACAGACTAATTTACCCAACGATAAAGCAGTAGTCCCATGTAGCCAGCAATCCTTGTGCTGCCAACAGTCCCAGCAACGTCAGGGTTAGTCCCACCTTGCTACGGGCTCCTCCAACCATCTTTAAAACCTGGCACCAATATATCATTTAATCTCAAGCAGCATATTATTATTTCTAAAAAGGTGATAAAATAAGCACAAAATACTAGATATTGTACATAATCCTTTTTCTAAAAGAAATTGCGATACATATGTACAATTTTGTGTAAACCCCTTTTGACAACTCTAACGAATGTAAAAATAAATATATAGTAAGTTTTAAATGCATGATTTTTCGGAATATAATACCTGGGACCAGGCTGGCCTCTGCAGCAACACAGACTGCGGATCATCCTGCCTCATACCTCCAGACTTTGTTGCAGTAGCAGCTTTCAAAACAGGGCTTTGCTGCAATCAAAACAGGTTTTTTAAGATTATGTCTTATATTTGGTTGAATGTTTATTACGTAGGTACTTTGTTCATGTTGTAGGGATGAATTCAATACTAGGTATGCTCGGGACTTAATTTGCGTTTCGGAACAGGACGGGATTTTTTCGTCTCAATTTTTATTTGGGTAATAGTGCATAATCTGTTTGATGAAACACTATAGTAAATGTAATACAAGCATAGTATTTTCAACCCTGAAATCAAGATGTATATCTTCTGCAAGAACTACTGCATGGTCATAAACAGCAGTAGACTGCAGAAAAGATTACACGTTGTTACATAATCCAATAAAACCCAGTAATTTATTTCAAAGGATTCAAAAAAAGATGGACAAAATCAATATAAGAGAAAGCCCACTTTTCCGTTATCCAATTGTCCATAATGATTAATAATCCAACATTGGTCTAAAAATGTTATTGAATATGTTTTAAGGTATTTTCTGCAGAGTAAGGAGCGAGCCGCAGACGTTGAGTGCGATCGGTGAGAGTCGGGAGCGATCGGCAGACGTAAAGATACAGGTTAAGTTTAAGAAAGGGCCATGCGGCCCTAACTTTTGCCTGTATAAATAAATAATATTTCATTTCAAAGAGCAATTGGCAGACGTCGAGTGCAATTGGCAGACGTCGAGTGCGATCGGCAGAAAGGCAGACTTCCCTAAAAATTCTGTTCCGAAAAAAACTTGACATAATAGATCCCAATGATGAACAAATCTTGATCCCAAAAAATCCCAAATTTTCTGCTTTTGATCAAGTTAATACTGACTGGCTGAGGGTAGTAGGAGTATCTGCGGCAGTACTTGTAGGAACATTCCACGATGTTGAGATTGTGGTTGGAGCTGGTGGTGGAAGGCTCGTCCATGTCTGAGTCCTCACTATCAGTGTCAAGGTCATCAGAGGTCAGATCCGTTGATTGTTCCAGGCTGGCGATGGTGGGTACCAGCTGATCAAATGTGCCGTACCCTTCCATTTTGCCCTGGAAAACATTTATTGGATTAGATTTAGATGATATTAGATTCTTAACATATAATAGTTATTTGGGAGTGGGAAATTTACTTGTGGATGAGGTGATTTTATGTTATTGATAAAGTTCGAAGATTTTCCCAATGTTTGCAGATGGCTGGATTCTGTTTCGAACTGTAAAAACGTGACTGGCTTTTTTCAGTATTGGACCAGCAATATTAGTATAAGTAAGCAGCTCTGATACCACATTATATAATGTAATTGTCAGTTTTTATTGGATTGCAGGTTTCTTTAAAGGCCTCAAAATGACAAAAATTATTAATTTGTGCAAGGATGAATAAGTATAGGTTAGATATTTCACTAGTAACTCATACTCGAACATTTGTTTTTTTTTTTTTGTATGTGTTAAGGGCTTTTTTTTATCCCTTATTGAGGATTGAAGTAGTGACGCACTAACGAGATAACCAACAATCAAATGTTATTTTAACATTAACCATTTTTGTGTAAAACCATTAATTCAAATATAATGTAATTTTACATGTTCAAACGTCGAGTATTGCACCAAGCAACAAAGCGTGGATCACATTCTGCAATGAGCTTATGTGTAATCAGCTGTGTTTGTCAGCTGATGCCCTGCAGTGTAGAAAGAGAACACAGAGATAGTCACAGTCGCTGTAACAAGAGTTTAACTCCCACAACAGCGGCTGACTAAGCCCTCGATACGTTTGTCAGTTTAACTACATCACGTGGTTCAACTGGGAGATTTGTTAAAAATCGTGTACATTGCATTTTCTAACGAAATTTTATATTTTAAGGATTTTGTTTATTATCTTGTAAATGATTTGTACGTATACTGGAAGAAAACTAGTTTTTTTCAATAATCATTGTATTGTATTGTATCATTGAATTGTATCTCCAAGGTTTTTTTTATTTTGATGTTTAATGGTGATTTTCCCATAAACCCCATAGAATAACGTTAAATTAATTTTCATTAAAATGGCTCGTACTACTATTTTCATTTAAATTGTGTATGTTAGCTACTAGGAGGTCACGAATTGTGGATATTTATAGGGATGCACTGTGGATGCGATGCTCACTGGTGTGGATTAACGTCCGCACTAGTGAGTACTACGACTATCCGCAGTACTATCCTGATAATTAGACCAATTCGTAAATTACAAGGAAAAATGTGGTTCGGATTCCACTATAAACTGTAGGTCCCTTAGTTGCCATTAGCTGTATGGGCTATTAATTAACAGCTGTGTCTAAGGAACATGTCGGCCTTAGTCACTAACAAGACTACAAGATCGCGCCACTCATCCTACACTCATCCTTCACTCATATTTGGGTTAAAATACGCACATAGTGGCGTCCCCATCTTAAATAATTGATAATTGATAATTGATGTTATTGCTCTTTTAACCTTACAAATTGTACAAGCCCCAATTCTGTAAAAATTTACTGTGCATTTTTGCATAAATTTGTTTTTTTTTATTATTCCCATAAAATTGCATAGTTACTCCCACCTCCCATCCATGATAATATTGTTGTTGATATATTACACTCAAACTCCGAATTCGGACACTGTCCTAAATTGTTACCCACTTTGCGATGTGGACGGCGTGTAATACCCACGTCGGGGAGTGAGCATTTTATTCGGACATTGGCTGAAGCGAAATGCCCAGACCATGTTGTGGGTAAACTGGTTTACTCAAATGCTGAAGTTCAAACGTTCTTCGGCGATTGAGCAATTCCAAAATACCCACAACGCAGTGTGGATTTAAAAGTAATTGTCCACGTCGGGTTGTGGGTATTTCTATCACCGCAAAGTGGGTAAAAATTTCGTACACTGTCCGAATTCGGAGTTTGAGCATTGAGCGTAACAGATGCACTTCAAGAGAAAGTATGTGTCAATTTGCTGATATTGGTCATTAAATTAAATACATTAATGATATTGTTTTACCGTGTACTTTTCAGTCATAAGCTAATCGGAAATTCATTACATACACACAATTTATTGTTTATATATAATATTGATCACAAACAAATTTTAAATTAATAAACACAACCTACTGTATTATTATTGTTAATTGTAAAACAACCAACACATCATCGTTCTAAACTATTGATTCAACAATTGATTATTTAATACAAAATCCAACAAAACTAAATTTCAATACAGCAGATGTGACAAAGTACACAGAGCTACAAATATATTCCAGGTTTCACAGAGAGCTGAGTAAGCTCTTATATATTCCAACGCATTCACAGCCCGACCAAAACTTAATCAGTTTTGTCTGTTTGTCATGTGAGTTTATCCAGTTATCTAGCGAGGCCAGTGGTGTTTACATAATCAAAGCCTTCAGTTGGTTACCAGGTTTATCTATATTGTGGAAATATCATTTGAAATAAACCTTTGTGTTATGTTTACACCTACGTCAATATGTTTCGTGTGTGCTTCGGGATAATGTTTTAAATTATTGAATGTAATGGAATCTCAAAACATCAACTATTATTTCTTTGATGTTTTTTGTTGGTTTGCTTTGCTAAATTCAATTCAATCAACTAGGTTTTTTCCTAGATGTAGAGAGTGTGAAATTTAGTTCTGTACAGGAGACTGGGACATAGATTTTCCACAAGAGGTACTATCATTGAGTATAAAAACTGCACTCAACGCTCTATTGTCAATTAAGTCTCCATCCATTTATTGTGTTTACATAGAAGTATTTCTACATTGTATTTTATTGTTCCTGAGCAATACCATTTTAACTTTCTACAAAATAAGATTGAAAGTGTAATATTCGACTGTGGATAAAACTATATTTTCTTACAGTCACCCGACAAAGTGGGCTACCATGCACTGAAATAAGTACAGAAATTTGCTAATTGCTGCATTTACTTACTTTTGCCGCACTCTAGAATTCCTACGAAACGAAAAAAACAGCGTACTTTTATTAGGCATGTATTTCGTTTATGCTTGGAAATTGGAAATTGGTCTGTCGAGCCAACGACAGAGTGTTCTAATGTAAATTAATGATTTAAAAAAAACTTATTTTTTGAACAAGCCAGACTTAAAAATCAACTATTTTAATCCATAGAATATTTTAAAGAATAAAATAGTTTCAAAGAATCGTATCAAAGAATCTCAGAGTAAAGCTTAAATTTTGAAGTTTAAATGTGTTCTAGTTTAACAATAAATTGGCTACAGGCTTAAAAGTCAATTTTCAATACACTTTTAGTGATAAATAATAAATGTTTCTAAATACAATCATGCTGCAATCGATACATAAAATATTAAATGTTTAATTTGAAAGAGACAACGAGAAACTTTGTAAACATTTTTGAAACTGAGTGGCCTCGAACACAAATTTTGTTTCAATTCCATTGTTACAAAAGATAAAGTGTGAGTGTAAAGTTTGAGATCAAGAATACTTCGCCATGCGATTTGTACTTCAAGCTTATTGTAACTAGACTTTATGTCAACTTTACAGAATAGCACTTATCTTAAGTGATTTCAATTGCATTTTTATTTTGCTTTCTATTCTCATTTCTCTAAATTTGTATGTATTCTTTTTACAACTCTAAGAAGATATTGAAGAGGAAGATGTCATGAGATTGTGTACAAATATGATGAAACAGTTGGTTGTATGAAAGGGTAGAAAATGGGATGTGTTAAAACTCCTTAAATTTGTATAACTTGTTTTCTATACAGAATAGTAAAAAAAAAACAATACTTTTTATATATAAAATTATTATTACTTACATATAATTTACCTAGGCCTATATATTGCCATAATATTATATGCCTATACATTATTTACCTGCATACAACATAAAATAACATACGGACTTATTTACCCCCATGTACGGTACGAAACTATTGTTTACTACTAATAAATAATTATTGCTGAAATTTAAAGGAGTGAGATAACTTTCAATTCAGGATACCCCCTGGACGAAATTTCTACCAGCTGTTGGCAATTCCATCATCGCGATTGTAAAGTATTTTAATGTTTATGAGACCGAACGGCCGATTAAAGCATTCACTACCAGGTGACTCTAGATAATACAGATGAGTGTAACGGGTGGTATATAATGTACGTTAAACATTGTCAACAATGTTTAACATTGGTAAAACATTTTAAACATTGTTTAACATTGTTAAAACATTTTTAACATTTTTTAACATTGTTAACATGGTTTAACATTGGTAAAACATTGTTACTGTTTATGATATGCCATTCGCCTATTGAATCTGATGATTATTGGAGTGTCCAATCGTAGTCGATCACCATTTACCACCCTTTTTTGTATATTTACCGTCTTTTGAGTAACAGTATAAGCGTAAATATATGTTTTAAGTGTTATAAGACGTTTCTTTATTTACTTTTCGTAAATTTAATAACACGTACGATGCTGATCAAGAAGTTATTTATTAAAATGTTCTAACCCACAGAATATTACATTTATAAAAACTATTATCGTCTGATTTTTTTAGTCAAATCCAACTATTTTATATGAAAATACATTACAATTTTATCTTACACAGTTTTATTCATTTTGTACTAAAATTACGAATTTTTTAGAAAATTGAGTTAAAAACGTTTGATAAATGTGATGAAACTTTACTACTCTGATGTTATAGAGGCAGCCATACACAATGTCATCATAGCTCTCATGTGTCGTGTGTTGAGATGTTGAAGAGGTTTCCTGTGTTGCAAGTTTGAATGATGTTTAACAAACTTGAGTGACAAAACCCTCACTTAGCTAATGCCACTGTGGCAAATCATGTTTCATATTTATCCTGACTGTGGTATTAGAATACAAAATGTTGCACATTTGAATTATTTTTAGTTTGAATCTTTTAAATTAATACATAATAATGAATGAAATAGCAAACGTATTTTAACAATATTAGAAATAGTAAAATTTATACTGTAATAGTTTGCAAGATTATGAACATGTGTAAGAAATATTTTATGGGTTACTGTATTGATTTCGAGCAGTTACACTTATCAGCATTAAGTTTAGATATTTTCTTTTTTTCCAATCTTATGGAGGTGGCTGGTGAAATAGATATTTGATAAATAAATTATCCCGTTTTGTCGGAACATTGACAATTAAAAGAATCATGAAGTCTTCGGTTGTTTTTACTTTTCATAGTCTAAATACCGAAAACATTTGTATGTCAATTTATAACTGTCTGTGTGAGTATAGGGCGACGCCCAAGATGGCAATATATGCTGCTCAGTACGATCAAACAATTTTTACTGTAGTTACTATTTTTTTATGAAGTCGGCAATTTCAAAATTGGTATGACCGATTTCTAAAAGAATTAGGAACAGTAAAAATTTACTGCAAACTAAAGAATCAGCTGATTTTAGTCAGTAATAAAGCTACACCCCACACTTCCTTCTACACTCATCCTCATTCATACAATTTGGGTTAAAATACCCACCAAGGTGGCATCCCCACCTAAATCAGTATTAAAAAAATAATACATGAGTTATCTATCAAGTAACAATCAGCTGTTTATAGGAATAAGTTCCTATAAACAGCTCCTATAAACTCAATGTGATTTAGGTAAAGTTATTTTTTTTTTATTGACAAGTGATTATACAGTAGATACTACCTTTGACTATGTCAATGATACTACCGATTTTTTTCATGGTTAATCAATGATACTGTAGAACAATATTTTTCTTAAGTTGCTTTAAAGTACTGTTTTATTTTGTCACTGCATCTCATTTCTGATAAAGGTGAAAAACACTAAGTTATAACTAAAAAATATTTTTTACCAACCCAATCATTAACAGTAAAAAAACTTTTAACATTTTTAACCTCATAAAATACCTAATACTAAGCTATATTACAATAATAACTTTATTTTTGTCTCAATTCTTGAACTGTTTGTATCCAACTTTTATCTCCGTCCTTTGGAGTGCAGGAAGAAATAATTCATAAGGTACCTAGAAGTTTCTGTTGAAAAAGAAAGAAGAAGTTTTCCAGAAGTCGAATTAAGAAGTTTTTTACTGTAGGAAACGGCAAAGGGCCAACTCATCACCATTTACATCGTTATTATCTTCAACACTTAAAACAACTTTTAGTCCAGTTAAAAAATTGTTTGTTGGTTAATTGGGGATGAGCGTAAGTCTGTGAGTCCAATTTATTAGATGACATTTAGTTTTAGAAATTCTTCAACCTCATGATGGTCATGTCTTTGTAAACAGGGTTTCTCTAGATTGTACAAGTTTTATAGATTAGCAAGTTTATAGATTTATTATTTATGATTTAGACACAAAATAGTTTTAGTTGTTTTAACTTATTCCAATTTAACCATTGCACTTTATTGTTTTTTTTTTAACAAAACTTCCATAAGAAACAACAAACATATAAATGAATATCTCCATAAAACCCTGACATTTAATTAAAAAAAATAATATTCTGAAAAGATAAAATTATATTCTGAGCTAAAACAATAATCTTCTGAAAGTTTTTCAAAATACAGTATGTTGTTTTTAAATTGAAGATCAGATAATATTTATGCTAGGTTAACATCTTTTGTGTTCAGAGATTTGCCGGTGCTTTCTATCAAGACTGATAAAGCATCTACGGTACATATTTTTCAATTCTTATGTTTTATTTTACATACATTAAATACGTACAAAATTTAATAAGAGTATAATACTGGTCAATCTCTCTGACAACACTAATAACTCACATCAAACATTATATACCTTATTCACAACAGAAAAATCATCTTTAATTACATACATAAAGCAAGACAACCAAACATTAATTTAATTATTGATTAAACATAATTAATTTCTTGTTTACCTAAACACTTTTATGATTGTTGTTTAGTTTCTTTTAATCATTCTCGTTGAACAGTGACTAAACCTGATGTAGTTAAACTACACAATCGCATCAAGGGCTTAGAAGGATAACTCTGTTGTGAAAGTTTAGCCCTGATACATTGACTATAGAGTCTGGTCTAAAACTAGCAAATGTATTCAACAGATTTGGCCATATAACACTGTACCACATAAAACCGGCCAATTGTTTAAATATAGAATTTTAAGGGAGGTATGTGATGTGTATTTCTTTTAGAACATAAGTTCCAACGAGGTTAAACAGAAAATATGTATCGTCATAATCCAGTGATGATCCTAGAATATTTTTATTTTGTTGTTTATTATTGCAGTCTGGACTATTCAATTTCATATTGCATATTATTAGCAAATTTCCCGTACAGGGAATATTTTTCATTTCCTCACAGGTAAAAATTTTACGAATTTTTACAATTACCAATTTTACGTATTTACCTCGAACGAGGTTTGACTGTAATCCAAAAATCAAAACCGAAGATGATCTACTGTCAAAATAATGTTGAATTGAGATAGCAGATAATTAGGAAAACAGTGGTTTCAGTAGTATGAACTGTAATATTACAACCTCTTATCATTGTACAGAGTAGTATTGTCGTTTAAAAAATACCTAATGATAAAAATGATTACAAATTCCCATAAAAAGCAAGGACTAATGTTAGATATTTTATACTGAAAACCCTTTTTTTAATATGTACTAAAACAATATAATTGAACAAGGCTGTGTTTGATGTGTCAAAACTGTAGAATGTAGACTCTTCTGGGAATAAAAATTAGTTACATCAACAATAAAGTTCAATCCAACTAGGCTCTAGAGAGGCAGTACAAGAAAGGTAATAAAGGAACATCACGGTTTCTTTTCAACTTATATTAGGACGTAAAAGTTAACGATGTTGTAAAGGATGATGACAAGTCAAGTTTAACCAGAAACTTTATCTTTCAACGTTGTTTAAAATCCCAGAGTTTTTATTACAATTAGCTTTGAAATTTACTCTTTTGATTTCCCTTGTTGCTAACTTGTGCCGTGTGTGATGAAGAAATTAATTTTTGTTTAATGCATTTTAGTGGAATTGCTTTTGAGGGAAAATATAATTTTGATAAAATGTCCCATTTCATTCAATTTTTAAAGTCACATTTTAAAGAACAAGCATTTATCACAGCTATATTATATAAATTTTCTGTAGGCTCTGTACTTTGTGTACAATATTTAAAATTGCCAAGAAAAACAACGCTATTTATAGCAGAGCCTCGATAAAAAATTTATTATAGGGATTATTAAACATAAGACTTGTTATCAAGGTTGACTATTTATCGAGGTTTGTATAAAATGTGAATGAATGAATTATAACATTTATATTAACTTCATTAGGAAGCTGACTAATAAAAATCGTTGTCCCAAAGGAACCTTAAGAATATCTTTCTTTATCATGCCACTATTTTATCTGTGTTATATACTACAATGTTTTATATTTGATAGGTATAATTATTATGATGTGTTTACTACTTACGTTCCGCAGAGCAATGATTTGGTCGGCCTTCACGAGGTGTCGATGTTTGTCAGTGACCAAAACCACAGTTTTGTCCTTCAGCAATCTCAGGACGCATCGAGTGAAGATCCTGTCGGACACTTGTCTGCCGAGCCATCTGAACGGATCATCCAGCAGGTAGATGTCACAGTCGTGGTAGAGCGTCCTGCAATGTACAATGATGAGCTGCAAAACTGTCGTAGGTTTTCATTCGATTTTTTACGAAGCTGACAAACCGTGGTGGAAGGGTGCGTTTTGAAGAAGATGAGTGGAGGAGGAGTGTTTATTGAATGAATAGGCTTTGCAATTTTGAACTATCAAAAACATTGTGACTTTTCTCGGGATTAAACTTGCAACCTTCTGGTCACCAGGCAAGCACTTTATTTGCTCAGCTAACCAGCTGTTTAAGGTTTAAAATTGTTTACAAAATAAATCTAACACTGTTTTACTTGGAACTTACATAAAAAGGCTAATGATGAAAAAACAGTCGTCCTTTGGAGATAAGTCACAACAGAGATAAATAGATGGACTCAGGCTACAAAAATATCATATTGTAATGTTCTGAGGGCTGTTATATTGATGTATTTAAACAATTGCCCATCTGTGTCTATACAACACATTTCAACTCTTTGATAAATAACATACCTGGCCAAGTTGATCTTGGAAATTTGCTGAAGTGTGAGAGCCACTCCATCCTCAGTTCCGATGATTGTCATCTCTTTCTTAGGCAAATCTTGGACGTCTCTGATGAGACCACAAACCTCCAACACCAGCTTCAGTCTAAGAATATTTACAAAATCAGTGGAACTGTATGTCACATTGAAGTTGTGTATACCCTTAATGAGACTTATTTAGCGTAGTACCAAAGGAAATCACTCACTCTAGGACTAATTGTCTGTTTCCTATCTCTACAGCCACCTGAATTATCCGAGACCTGACCTTGCTTGAGTTACTAAGAGCTTCTAACTCTTATTGTTGCAAAACTGGTTTGATAAAAATCCCACTTACAAAGGATTTGCCTTCCTAGGGGTTGGATGCAGATTCAGAAATTGTTTCTGCCTCAGTTTTTAAGACTAATGAAGTTTACAGATTTCTTCCGAATTTCCCAACTTTAGACAAAGCCAAACTTTAGGGAGAAATTGTTAACTATCGGTACAGCATCTGTTATGTCACATAAACTATCACGCTAACAAAAGCTAAAAGAGAAAACAAAATTTAACTGCAGTACACTGGGGGTGGCTAATTGAAATGTGCTGTTTGAATAAAAATATTTATTAAAACTTCTCTGTATATTGTATGTCTACTTAAGTATCCAAATTCATGTCCAGATTTGAGGGATATCAGTAGGCATGGTATACACATGAACCAACATAACCAACATGAAGATTAAAGCCTACATTGACAAACTATCTTAAAGCATTTTCGATTACTTTTGGTAAAGTCTCAATCTCAATGTAGGTACAGGGACATGTATGTGCCGTTACCTCTGTTCGTTGATGTGTTTGCCGCAGACGATATTGTCCCTGACGGAGGCGGCCGGCAGCAGCCAGGGTGTGTGAGGGCAATAGACTGTGCGACCTTTGATGGCCACACTGCCCGAACACGTGTCCACCTCGCCTTGCAGTAGATACAGCAGCGGGGTCTGACCAACAAAATATCGGTAGAAGGGATAAAGTGGTTTAGACAAAAACTAGGTGATAAACAGAGTGTATTAAACATGTCCCCTACCATCCTTTGAAGGTTTCAAAGCAAACAAATATTTTCTCCATCAATTCCGCAGTCAGACAATTTAGGTTAGAAAAAATTGAGTACTTAACTTATCGTTACTAACTCAAACTTTTCTTGGCTGGAAGTAACTTACTGACAGTGGCAGTGAAATATACTCATTATTCGGTATATTGTGTGTGGTCATGTTACTTACAAGAATGAACTTTTCTCAATTATTCATAAAAACCTGCTTAAAAAAACCTTCATTTTTGTGATTTTCTAGATAATTAGCATTCTTTTTACATTGTTTGTTAGGGAATGATCCAAATCCCTTGTTACTATCTAGCATAAACATTTCCTTAGAATGCCATCAATTGTATCCTAAATACAAATGACATCTGAGTTAAGAATAAAACTCGCTTGGAATTGAACCAGCAAGCTCTGATTATGACGTTCAGATTGAAGCCAAGTTATGAAAGGAAAGGATGTGAATACGGTGAATCACTCCAATACACACCCAGACAGACAATTTCATACTAATTATGTCTATTTACACAGACCGATCAAATGCTGTTCATTGATTATGAACATTTGGCATTACAGTTGCAGTATTTACCTTGCCAGCCCTCCAAGGTCCCACCACTGCCAGTATCTGACCCTCTCTGACACAGAAGCTGATCTTGCTGAGCAGCACTGGTCCAACAGAGCAGCACTGAGCTGTCGCATCAGACACACAGATCCTCTGTTCTGCTGGTAACTCTGCCTCATGTCTACCTTGCTCTGGACAGTCCACCATCACTAGCAGCTCCTGGCACAACCAATGTAACAGCTGCTTAGTCTATGTTTATCATTGCGTGGGAAGTCTGTTAAAACAGTGTCAGTGTAGTTTGGCATAAAAATATTTTATTGTAAACCAAAAATAGTATCTTGATTTAATTGGTTGTTATTTTTTTTTTTTTTACTCACCAAATTAAATTAATTGAAATTAAACTTAAAAGTCATTTGTACCAAATGAGAATTATAATTTATTCGTGAAAATAGCGGTGGTTTACTGTAATTAGTATTGCTTGTGTTCATCGTCAACAAAAAAATTACACACAATATTTTTTATCATGTAATTTTTTAAAGAGGAAAAGTTAGGAAAAGAAATGCAGCTATAATTTTTTTACGGAGTAAAGCATGTAGGTTTACAAAAAGAATATGATTCATATAAAGACTTTATCTTGATATCCTGCTGAAAGTATAAAATGCCATCCGGCAAACATGACTCGAGTTATACGCTGTAGGAAGGCACAAACTTTACAGCGCTCACTAGGAATGCTATTTGAAGTGATGTTCTTTTTACATCATGTTGTAAAGTGGCAGCTTTTATTACTCGACAATTAATTCATTCCGAGCTTTATCTCGCACAAGGGTGAAACAAAACTCGGTAAAAGTGAATTGAGATGAACTTTTATAACTTTGAGTGTTTTAGTCTTTTTATGAGTATTTTTTATTTTTGTTTAAGGAAAAATGTTCACCCAGGATAAAGTGAAATAATCTCAGTATCCATTTAAGAATTTAACCAATGACATTGAAATAACCTTTTCACACGTGCATTTGTGTTCATAAAATATCTATTGTGATTTGTACCTAATTTAGTCACTTTCTTTTCTGTTAACAAGTCATCTAAATTGTAGCAAATGAAGTTAGCTAAGAGAGAAAAATTTACTAAACTGACACTGTACACTGTCCTATGAAGATTTTTCATTGAAAAATTAGCTACTTGTTTCTATAACGGAAGATTTCATTTTTTTTACATAAATTGAATAAAACCTTTCCTTAGCACTAACTAACAGGTTTCACATGCAAAATAAGTTACTACCCAAGAAATAACTTAATTGGCATTTTTCTGTTCCAACACAACTTCAAGTTAAATATATTAGTGTAAAGATAAACAAAATCCATATTAAATACCTGAAGGACTTGTATCGTGGTAGTCAGTTTGGTCAGAAGACTGAACCCCATTGGCAGGTTTATGCAGAGAGGGTTTGTCAACGTCTGGACCAAACACAAAATCAGGAAAGCCTGAAAAATAGTCATTCGACCACATTAGAATACTACGTATTCAAGCAATCCGTTAGGCTAATAATTTTCTGAATAACTAAATGGATTCCCTAGGACCAGTTATTTGACCAAAACAGAGATCAATCTACATACCAGAAGTCAATTATTTGACCATATCCAGAGGTTGACCAATGAGTTGAGTATCGGTCATAATTGATTCAGGTAATGCATAAATTAGTGACATAGTCACCCATGTGGTTTACATTTCAATCAAGTTTTGAATTGGTTTCATATTATCATAGTATTGGTTTATCAACATTTGTTTTGAATTTACTCACAAAATAAGAAAATAATTTATGTATTCTTAGTTGAAAAAACTCCTAGGCTAATTTAGAAAGTTATCCAAAATGCCAAAAAATATCATGCCTTTTTAAAATGTATTTTAATTCATAAGGTCACGGTTTATATTTTTTTAACAATCGTGTTGCTGTTGAAAGTTGTAGCAGTCTAATAACTGAAAAAATTGGCTACTAAATCAAAAACTTAATACTAGGAAGTCAGTGTCTTTCAATTCATTTTGAAGTTTGATGTTTTGAAACTGACCACAGTTGTCCTTGATCATTGGGCTTAAAAAGATTATTGAATGAATCAGCATATCGAATCAGTAACTTCAACACATATTATTCATTCATCACTGCAACACTATATTATTGCAATATTATTGCAATAAGTGTGATAAATTGAATCCATTACAACAATGTTTCAGCTGGTTGCATTCATGTATTGCAATCACTTAATTCGCATATTCCAACCAGTGCAACCACATATTCCATCAACTACATATATTGCAGTTTATTGCACCCTTTCCCAAAAATGAAATCATATTGCAACCATTAAAACCAGTAATTATTTACCTATTTTGCCTGAAGGTCTTGTAGTTAACACTCGATTAACACTCGATGCGCATTTCGCCGCTCAGTGCGGCATCTTCATAGAGTATCTTCTTAAACACTATTGTTACTATGTACATATTTACAATATATTTTCCAGTCACTAACCGGTCACATTCGCGGTCGCGGTTGCCCGGCGGCGACACGAGCGGCGGGGTACATTTCGTTCCGCACTGTTGACGTGATGGACTTGTACTGGATCTGAGTGGTTGACAGTGACAGTGTTATGATCAGGGGGTGTAGTCATTGTTTGTAAGGGATGGTCGCTTTCACTTTTGCGCTGTTGCCATTTTAGTGCGGTGTTGCCAGATCGTTGGGTTTCCTCTATGTTTTGGATGAGGTTAAACAAAATGGAATTATGGTAGTCCTCTTTCTTATTTAGGAGGGTGTCAGGGTTAGTGTTAATTTGCTTATAAATTTCGTAACTTTCTTTGACTATTGCAGTAGACTTGGAGTTGGTTTTGTGGAGGACCTGTAATGACTCAGGATAAATAATTTTGTGGCCATGATTTTCTTTCAGGTGTTTGGCTACTATTGAGCTGGCTACTATCATACCAACCCCAGCTCAATAGTAGCCAAACACCTGAAAGAAAATCATGGCCACAAAATTATTTATCCTGAGTCATTACAGGTCCTCCACAAAACCAACTCCAAGTCTACTGCAATAGTCAAAGAAAGTTACGAAATTTATAAGCAAATTAACACTAACCCTGACACCCTCCTAAATAAGAAAGAGGACTACCATAATTCCATTTTGTTTAACCTCATCCAAAACATAGAGGAAACCCAACGATCTGGCAACACCGCACTAAAATGGCAACAGCGCAAAAGTGAAAGCGACCATCCCTTACAAACAATGACTACACCCCCTGATCATAACACTGTCACTGTCAACCACTCAGATCCAGTACAAGTCCATCACGTCAACAGTGCGGAACGAAATGTACCCCGCCGCTCGTGTCGCCGCCGGGCAACCGCGACCGCGAATGTGACCGGTTAGTGACTGGAAAATATATTGTAAATATGTACATAGTAACAATAGTGTTTAAGAAGATACTCTATGAAGATGCCGCACTGAGCGGCGAAATGCGCATCGAGTGTTAATCGAGTGTTAACTACAAGACCTTCAGGCAAAATAGGTAAATAATTACTGTATAATACAGGTCTTGTCACTGGGTTCAAAAAACATTAAAACCAATTGCGCTACAACGCTACAACCAAAAACTATCGTAAAAATCTATGCAACAATTGCAATCATTAAAATAAAACCAATGCTACATTATTGTACTCACATCTTGTTCGCTGAACGCCTGTTGCGCCAGAGTGTAGACAGTAACAGACAGTAAGATCATGAGGTTGGAGCCGTGTGCCTGTATTGAGGCCACCATTGTGTGTAGTATAGCGTTGTACCCCATAGCAGTACTCTCCTTCCTGCGGATATGAATGTTTACAACATTATGAACAACTTACTCTTTATCCTCACTTTGGAGTTGTGTGCGTCAATTGTATATTATTTCATCGTTAGTGTTTGTCTTTTAATTAGGTTGTTTTTTTTGTAGGTTGCAGGATGACAATTCGGATCGATTTTGGCCTTTTGGGCCCAATGGGTTGTTGCCAGCAACAACAACAGAGGTAAATCTATGAACAAGAGAATCTAATACAGTATAACTTTATTGAATTTTCTACCTGCGAACGCTGGCTATCTTACTGTGAACCACTTCTGTGAGAGATCTCTGTTTAATCTGAAACATTCCTGTGGCTGCCTCCTCCAATAGGAACAGTCGCTCTCTCTTGGTAGGCAGACATTGGTTGAGAATTCTAGTGGCTACTTGTCTACTCATCACTGAAACACGGATAATTTGTTACAAATAAATAAACGTTAAAGTAGGAATTACATTAACTTGGCCATATTTTCAACTCCTTGAAATTCAAGTGATGGCATGTAACTGAAGGCTGAAACTCAGATAATGAGTCATATTGTGAACAATCACCCTTTTCTATCTAGCAAGGGCAAGCCAAAGCCACAAAGTACTTCTTCCGAGTTAGTCGAATTTTTGCGCACCCCAAATGAGTTGTTTCATTGACAGACCTTAAAGATTCAAGCATCTGATAAATGCCTGTAGTCTAACCAATTCAAGGGAAGGTAACGCCAAATTACTAAGAGCTTTCCTTCTAACCTCAGAGAGCTCTTCTCAATAAGCTGTTTCCTCGGAGCTATCGCAATTCCTACTGGTTCGCCATTATACAAAACCATACGTTACAAGTGTTTTATGAACCGACCATGTCCGGTAATCAATTCTACTGTTAAATTCTTCCCCAATCCCAGCCTCAAAATAGCCGAGGCATCCCGCTATGACGGCTTATGAAGAGTGATCTTGCTGCCAAGAATTTCCCATTGCTTACACTAGGAGGATTAGCTTAATCTTGAGTACAGACATTTTTAGAAACCTTTCTAATACTTTCAGTACATCGTTAATAACTGTCTTCCCATGTGGGTGGCTCAATCAACTATGTTCTTTTATACTAAAATTTACATCAAATCCAAAGGGATGTTTGCTTCACTATCCAAAAGTCAATAACTGACCCAGTAGTGGTATGAGGACTGTCAGTAGAATGACGATGCCGACGATTGCCGTCCTGTCAAAGTAGACCCACAGAACTGTCAGGACAAAGAGAGCGTAAAAAGGACCAATCAGGATGTACGGAGCCTTGACCATCGCCAGTTCTGCCAACACGAGCCCCTCCGTCACCTGACCCATTTTCTCATTGATATCTTTAACCCGGTTTATATTGACGTCCAGCTTCAGTACCTGTGAAAGAGTTAAAGAGAAATTAGATTTGCTGAACTATAGGCCTAGGGATTTTACAGTCAATGTTTAATGGATGAAAATTAGAATTATTGTTTCTAGTGAGACAGAATCTTTTTAAAAGAAGGTTAGTTGCCTGAATATTGAATTAACCTGCTTATGTGAGGCCTGTGTTTGCAATATATCAAGCTAAGCTAAGAGTAAGCCAAATCAGCACAAGAATGAACTGAACTTCACTAATCAATGTTAAGTGTCTGCAGCAGATTCAATTTAAAACATTTTTTTTATTTTTCAATTTTAAGTGTTTGATTTTAAGTTAAGTTTAAATGTTAAATATTTTATGTATGGATATAATTTTGACAATGCACCTATTCTAAATGTTATGACATGTATGGAATGTTTTGTGCAAATAAAGTGATGTCTATGTCTATGTCAGGTCGCAAACACTTTGCATTGCTGCCTTGATTTTATAGTCCACTGTGTATCCTAATGAACTACCCACTCACATTGGGTGTTATTCTAAACCTGTCAAAGTTCACTACTATCCACAGTAAAAAGCATGAAAATATATATATATACAGTACAGTAACTCTAAAATGTAATGGGGAAGAGAATCATACCCGTAGAAAATCTAACAAATTTGTTCATTTTAAATTGTAACTGTGTTAGCATACTGTAATATTTGTTGGATAGCTGAATAGAGCTTGCCAAACGACTAGAAAGTTGCCAGTTTGGTCCTGAGTCCTGGGAAAAGTAAATATATTTGCGGTAGTTTGTATCCAGACCCATCTGTTCTGTTATTTGAGCTGCAATTTATAGCCACAAAAAAGGAAAAAAATAGGTCTACCGTGTTGTTTATTTTTCAAGCGGTATGATAATTTATCCTGTTTATTCAGCTCTGCTACTTGGACATAATTGCTACAGCTTTGGTCATTTGTTCCACTGAATTTGTAATTTCTATCTCACCGAAACTCATACTCAAATTACTTTTAGAAATAGGCAAACGGAAAACTAGCTCCTCAAAAAATTTTGAAATAATATTCCGAAATGTTGTACCCAAAACTAAACTGGTATACTTTTTTACACAGGAGGCTGTGGCAGGAGATGCGCAGCTGTGTTCCGACTGTCATTGCAACGGCGTTCCATCCGTGGTGCAACATGATGGAGAGCGCAGACGACACCGACAGAGAGAGGAGATACTCCTGAGACACGGACGACAACACATACCAGTACAACACCACGCCTTGGCAGATACTGCAACAAACATACAACAACTTTAATGATATATTTTCTTTAATCATCATTCATTCACCCATTGGTCCGTTGGCTTTGTTTGTTAATTTCTTCATTCTGCCATTCCTCCATGGTCAGAGCTCCTGTACATATCTCTGTGTGGGTTTTCTTTGGTCATTTTCTAGCTCTGGTTTGGTTTGAGCTACGGTACATATCTTGTTATGTTGTATATAATTTCTCATGTGAAGACAGGATCAAATTCCAGATTGTGAAATGTCATGAAAACTTGTTATTCATTCACCTTTTGAGAAGGATAAATAATCATCTGAGAGAATTAAGGTCAAGAAACTTGTTACTTCAAAAAAAGGTAACGACTACAAGAAAATAGTTTTTTATTCACTAATTGTGATGGAAATATTTACGATATTCCCTAAAATACCATTTCAAAATTAAGTTTCCTTCATAATTGTTTCAACCAAGTTCAACTAAGTTTTTTGCACAAACTAATTACACTGCATTGAATAGTGGGTAATTTCCAAGTTGGTGTTTTTATTTCAAAAGAAAAAAGTCTTCAGGAGAAAATGTTGTGAAGTAAAATGGAAACTTGACAGGAAGTGACCTCGAGTTCTATCAATAATGACACATTTCCTTCAACTTGCCAACAAACTTTTCTAATCAATTTCGCTTTAGACTCACACTCCCACAGGAAACGTTCAATTCAACTTTTTAAATTTTGTGAGTCTTTTTATAACGTTAAGGTATAAGTTCTTGATGAAACGCAAGTTAATTGAACGCAAGATATCACGTTTTATTTATTTATTACTTAGAAACAGTTTTTTTTACCATTTCATTTAAAACACATAGCTGCTACCTTTCCTTCCAATTCAGGCAAAAGCAGACTTCTGTAGGCTATTATCTACATATTTGAGACTACATTATACTACGTCATGACCTGTGAATGTCTGACTAACTATGACTGTTTATCATGAATATTATATAATATACACAATTGTGATTGAAAATACCAACAATGAATTAATAACAATATCTTTGACTTTAAATCAATTATTATGTATTAAAAGTAAACTCTAACCTGATTTAAAAAAATGTAATACTGTTTGATAGGGCTGTACAGTTATTGGTATAATTTTCTTAAAAAGACGTCTTTATTTTCAGGTTGGTCTATATCCACAAATAAATCCAGCCTAAGCACATTACTCATCTAGTTTCAACACTCTATTCAAGTCTGTCCTTTATTTTTATATTTAGGGTTATTTGCTTTTCAATCCTGTTGGAATGCACCAAACTTACATATTTTGTTAAAAGTCCTCCTTTCTTAAACCCAAACTTACTTTAATTTTGCACCAATAAATATCCTTCTTCTGTTGAATGTTTAGCCTACTTTAAAACTTGCAATTATTTTTTCATTATTTTACATTTTACATTGTTGTATTCTTGAAAAGAAGTAAGGTATGCCACTAATGACTTTTGTGAAACAATTAGTAAGAAAACCGGTTGTCTGTGTAATTGTCGAGGTAGTTAATTAGTGATGACCTGTCCTCATGTCTAAAGGTTGAAGGTTCGATCCTAAGCGGACTCAATTGTAGACCCACATGTCATTTTTAGCGAATTTCCCATATAGGGAATATTAGCGAATTTCCCATATAGGGAATAAGCTATTACCGTAGTACTCATGGTAAGACTTGGACGCGGGACCGATTTTTTTTTTCGTTTTGAGGTCCCTAGAGGCCAAAAACACCATCCGTTCAAATTCATATATATATATATATTTATATATTTATATATATATATATATCGATGGTTATAAGCACAATAGTTGTATGTCCATTTTGGTAAACTTTCGGAAACCGCAAAAACAAAGTTTGTATTATGGGGGAAACTTAAACTAAAACTGTTAAATGTTTAAAATAAATAAATTTTATTGGCCCCATTTATTAAAAATGCATCTACATAATTAGTTTTATTTTATTCAAGCCACATTTTTACAAATAATTTGTAAATCAAACCATGTTGGACATACTATATGTGTGCACTTCTGAACGCGCAGATTTATGGACATGCTACGAGTGTGCAATACAAAAACTGCCCCTAGATGGTTTTAGTAAGGAATGAAAACTTTAAACAACTGTTATCATGGGCGCCCCCTGGCTAAAAAAATAAGAAAAAAATGTAATAGCCTACACATAATGTTCTGTGATCACTTGGGTTTTAAGGAATTTATAAAAGCATGTTCAAAATGGTCCTGTCTAAAAATGTTTTAAATTGATGTTTAAATCAAATAAGTAGTCGACTCACAGATGTAAAAATCTTTTATACTTTGTATACTTTCATACTTTAACAAAACTATTCAGAAAGCAAAACATAAACTTTCTTGGCTGTTATCTAGGCTTTATTCAACTATAATTTTTTTTCTTTATAATTGTTTGGTTAATTGTTAATGTTGGCATAAAAAACTACGACTCCCTCAGGTGACCGTCCTTGATGCACAATGTACTATTTTGTTTTGGTTGGTTTTATGTATTACAAAATAGCGTAAAAATATGTTTTAAAACACTATATTTTAAGATTTTTTCCCGGGGAAGGCCCCGAACCCCTGGAGGTTCGTTAGACCTATATATTGGGGTTGCCCCCTGTTCCAAATTCTGCGGACGCCCATGACTGTTATTGTCTTACATTGTAGAATACTTTTATTTTTAACATTTTAAAAATAAAAATTACTTGGCCTACCAGCTATTAGAAACTTAAACTCAAGTAGGCCTAAACGAAACATTAAACAAAGCACGAAATAAATAAGGTATTGCCTTTTGTAAAATGGTACCTATACAGTACAAACTGTATTTTGTTGAGTCAGTCTTTATGGGGTTATTCAACAGTGCTGTCCTTTAGACACATTACTTTATTTTCTTATGAAGTTTTAATTTTCTTTATTTTATCTGGTTTTTTTTAGCCTCCTTGGTTTTCTTAAACTCTCTTTACATTACTTCTTTTTCTGGTTTCTTGCCCTATAACATCTCTTCTACTGCGTCTTCCTTCTTTCTTTTTGGTAACTTCAGTGAAAGACTTGTTTCCTTCTTCTTCCTCTATGACGTAAAGTACAATATCTCTTGCCGATGCGGAACTAGGGATTTCAGTGACAAAATGCGTGAATGCTTCTGGGATTACACCCGCTTTAAGTAGGTATATCAAATCCTTTTTCTTGGCGCTGGAAACCGGAATAGGCTCAGTGTACTTTGGACTGAGAAGTTGGTGTTCCCAAACAAATGGCGTCTCGGAATCGGAATCCATTCGTACATCAAGAGTCAAAAACTCTATTTCCTTGTTAAGTTCGTACTTGTATAGAATTTCAAAGGGCGTTGCTTTTTAAAACCCAAACCACTTTACCTTTAGCAAATTCGCGGATTCTTTTTTGGCGTTATGTTCTGTTGTGCACAGATGCTGTATGTCCTAAACCTAATCTAATTGTAAAATAAAATGTGGACATACTATAAGAGTGCACTTGAGATCATCAGATTTTTGGACATACTACAAGATGAAAAACAAATACCAGAGATAGTAGGCCTTGTATTTTCATGCACAATCATTGCAAGTCCAAAGATACTATATCTGTGCTCTAAAGGAGTTTTTCTCTGTTCAGCTGGTACTGCAATCATTGGACATGCTACAAGTGTGCAGGATAAAATTACATCATACCAAAGTGAACACTTTTATTTTGAGAATTTATATTAATTTTTCCTATTGTAATATGGACATACAATATGTGTGATCTGAAAGATGAAGACTACAGCTTTCCAAATATATAAAAATGTCAAAAGTGAAAAAAATTGGACATACAATGTTTGTGCATATAACCATCGATATATATATGTGTCCGTCAGCACGATAACTCGAGCAAAAATGATCCGATTTTGATGAAATTTGGTACAAACGTGTAAACGTACGTTTATTCGAACGAGTTCGCGATCCAGCATGATCGGACCATGGGAACGGGGGTTTACGGGGGGTTTTATGGGGTAAAAATAGGTTTTTCCCATTTTTGACCCAAAAAACATTAAATTTAGCAATTTCTTTCCAAACCATTTTGTAGAGCTTAAAAAACAAATAACTTAGTATATTGAATCGTTATTATGCGCCTAATTGTTACGGAGAAAATTCCAAAAAATTTTAAATTTAAAATTCCCATGTTATTCTTATGGAGAATAAGTAAACTGTTGTATTTGCTTGTTTGTGAACATATTTTGATCAAATTTGGAAAATGTTTTTATTTCTTACGAAACTATTTACATTTAAAAAAAAACAGTTTTACCCTCCCTGATGCAGCAAACCTAAGTACTTGTTAAACTAAATCTATTATCAAGAATAAATGTTATATTTTTAAGTAGACATTTCAGTGTAAATCCAATCAGTCAAATGGAAATTCGCTTAGTCTGCAGGTTTGCTGCGGCGGGGGTATTATTAACTATCAATCAGGTGCTTTTCAACATAACGTTGAAGTTAGATAGTAAAAAGACCAGCGATTGGGACCCATTAAAAAAATTAGCAATTGCGTACCATCTAAATTTGTTAAATACAAAAAAAAAAAAAAAAATTACAATAATTTATCCTTCATAATATGGGGACAAAATAATGCAAATAAATTTGTATAACTGAAAATTATTTAAAGTTTGTATGGTACTTATCACACAACATAAAGAAAACCACAGTCACTCTGATAATTTTCTATTCAGCTTGAGTTTTACTCACTAAAGTGCCTCGACAAAGAGCAAACTTGCTGTGAGAATAACGAATGAAGCTCCGAAAGCGAACCAGATCGCTTTGGTGAATCTAGGCTCTCGTGAGGTGTCCATAGCAAACAGCAGCTCATTGGTCCAACCCCTGCGAAAACCAAAACTGTGTCAGGGCTTTACACATACTGAACAATGTATTGTACAATAGAAGTTGTACTCTTGAGTTATAGTAACATACACTTTGATTAAAACTCAGCCGATGTTATGAAGTGAGTTTTATATTCACTGTTGTTTTATTTTACTGTTGAAAAATCAACAAAAATTTCACATGTAAACTAAATCACTTTTTAAAATGTATTGATGTAAATGCTTCAAAAATGACTTTTTTTGTGGTTGATCATTTATCAAACTATTTATTGTTACCTATTGTTATATTTTCTAACATTTGATTGAAGATGAAAAATATTTGTAGAATCTTTTTGAATATTGCAAACAAGGTCTGTAAACAATTTTAGGAAAGAGTAAAGAAAACTTTACTCAAAATAAATTGATCGGAAGGTATTTGAAGTGATTAATTTTAAAAGTTCTTTTTTGAGCAAGATTTTTAATGATAGACCTATCCTCTTCATCTATAAGTACCTTTTTTACATTATAGGTAGATGTACAGAAGTGAGCTCTAAATTACTGAAATACCGGTACATCAGTATTATCATAGATAAAAGGAGTATAGACACTCCTTTTATCTATGGTATTATGTAGTACATTTCTATATAGTGATTAGTAGAATTTGAAACCCAATCAAGTCTCTAGATGTTTGCAATCAAAATCTCTGTTTCACTGTATTGTAAAGTGAACGATGAATGTCGTTTGAGTGAGATAACGTAATAAGAGAACAGCTAGGGCTAGTTTAAAATAAAATGGTTAGAAGTATTTTAACTTTTTTACATCTTGTCCCATATTTAATGAGACAGACCATCACCATCCATACTGTTTAACTTAGGTCTACTAATGTTACAGAAGTAAGTCAACATTTAAAATCTAACCTTTCCAATCTTTCTCCGAGTTGTTCGCTCTCGAGTCCGTCCAACACATCGTAGATGTCCTCTGGTTCAAGCTCTTTCTTCTTTCCTCTCCAAAACAACGACACCAGCCACCTACATCAGTACAAGCAAGATGTTAGCTGGCGGTACTTATCAGATGTTTTGAGCACATAAATTTTGGAGATTAAGTATTGTTAAGAAAAAAAAATATATTTAGATAAAAACTAGCCACAGCTGGTGTAATTTTCTCAAATGAGCTAACTGAACTCCATACCATTCCGAAAAAAATACACTAGCTACATGGCATTCCGATAAAATATTTGTTGTCACACTGAAAGCAAAAACAGCTGTTAAAAACAACAACAAAATACAAGCGTTGCGGGTCTAAAGTAGCTCTTTTACTCCCTATGGTGTAGAAAGCCTTTTCAGTACCTAAGGAAAAGTCTTTTTAGTCCCTAAGGGAAATAGCCTTTTATTCCCTAGGGTGTAAAAACTTTTTTTAGTCTCTGGGGATTAGAAGTCAGTAAACTTTGATTCTAAATTGCATCTATCAAAATTATGTAGGTATCCAATGATTTCATCGGCTATAGCATATTAATGCATTCTATCAACAAGTTCGACATATCGATAGTATAATGTACACTAACACAATGGTAATGAGACGAAATACCTAGTTAAATCAGCTGCTTGTTTGCATTAGCAAAATTGAAAACAAGTTGGAAGTCGTTTTGAGAGGTTATCTTTACATGAAAAGTATTTTTGTTCTGTAACTTAGTTTGCTAATAATATAGTGCAATATTATAAAAAATACTTCGTCAAACAGGCAAAAAGTGTTTTTAAAATCCTTGCTCATTTTCCGTTAAACTTGAGCTTGGGCTGAAAACAGTCATTTAAGCTTGATCAATTAAATATACTAATACATACTTCTTCTAGCATTTCAAACGATTTTTCCATGTCATGACTGGTAGGCTTTTATAAAAACTAATTAAGTGCAAAATTATACACGTGGTTTAATTTCTATATTAAGTTAAGAGAGAAAACAAAGCATTTAAAGTTGAATGATGCTTCGTTAAGATCAGGTGTACAAACATAGAAATGCAAATCAACGAAGTGGCAAACTTACAACTTACAACGTAAAACTTACCAGTAACAAAATACAGAGAGCAAGTTGGAACCATCACGGGGGTTCTTGTTTGTCTTTTCTCTCTTCTTCTGTTTTTGTGAGTGCTGAGATTTCTGTTGGGAAACAAAAACAGAAGTCTTGAAGTGCTTTATGGTTCTGTGCTGAACTAATAAAACATCTATTGCAAATAAGTATGTGAACAATTAAAATTGTGTCCGAACAGTTCATCATTGACTACAATTTAAATGCTAATATTAGTAAAGCTGTTGTATTATTAAAACTGTCATAATGTATTAGTCTGTCATATTAGATTGTATGTATAAAATAAAGTTCCACAAGGATTGTATATGGGGAAACCTAAACGCTTTTATGGGAAACAGTTTAAACTACCCAAAGTTTTTATGTATAGGGGATTGAACTTGTCACTCTTGTACCAAAGTTTGATTCACCACTACACCCACAGCACACCAATGCTATTGGGTCTTTCCCACAAAACTCAAGGTTAGATTACGATCATTATCTAAATACAGTTAAGAGACATTCTCAAATAACGATCCTTTGCAATAAATAGTCTTTCTTACAAAAAATCTTTTTCTTTAGGAATACAAAAGGTTTTAAACGTTTTTCTTCTGTACTTTTACCTCACAACATCTCTGTATAAACCATAGTCAAAGTTACACTATTAAATTGCTTATTACTCAAAATATTTCAATGTAAAATCACTTATACAATAGCAAAACCTTTTTGTGCTCAATACCAAGAAACCGTGACACTTTTTTATGTAAAAAATTATTTTGAGAAAAAACAAATTAAATTTATCAAAATAAGTGTCAAAAATAGACACTCATAAAAATGATTTGAACAGTTAATATCAAGTATCTAGTGTAGTGCTATCTTGCAATAATAAAACCAGGTTTTAGATGCAGACTCAAGTAGTACTTTAGTTTTCATGTTGAAACCCTTTGTTCATTGATTATATCCAAGTTAATGTCAATTAGTGATACACGCTCTTCCTTAATATTTGTGTTAATAACTTATAAAAATTGTGTACAAGCGATAACAGTAATAACACCTTACATTGGTTTTACAATAAGATTTTGATAGTTTTGAACATTTTACTCATACTCACGTTATGCAGTCCCATATCCTACACTAGACAGGTGACTGTCACAACCACAGCTGATATGGGCTATCAAACAGCGAAGGACAGTGGAGCAATTAGGCAGTTTGTTAAGATTTTGTTTGGAATCACTCAAACCACAATAGTGCAAAATTGCCTTCAATTGTTTACGTAGACGTTCGTGACTAAACCATGGTCATTTTCATACTTTTGTACCCTAAATGGTGTGATATTGTGAAATATGAGCTTTCATGTTGTTTGTTAAAAATTGGTTGTGTATATAAAATGTTTTAGCGAATTTCCCTATAGGGAAGTAGCTATTACCGTAGGTCTCATTGTAAGACCTAGGCCCGGGACCGATTTACTTCTCCATTTTGATGTCCCCAGAGGCCAAAAACACCATTCGTTCAAATTTTTATATATGTATATATATCTATATATAGAGATATTATATATATATATATATATATATATATGTGTGTCCATCCGCACGATAACTTGAGTAATTTTTGTCCGATTTTGATAAAATTTTGTATGAAGGTGTAAGGCGGGATAAACTTGAACAAGTTTGCGAACCAGCATGATCGGACTATGGGAACGGGGGTTTACTGGGGGTTATAAATAGATAAAATACATTGGTGATTGGCAGGATTTGAACCCGAAACCCCGTAATCCGAAACCCCACACTCTACCACTAAACCAGCTCATGTCATGTAAGATGTATTTGGTATATGTACGTTAAATAAATGTGAAACCAGATTTAGTGTTTCTTAATATAATTTTTTCAGTCCGAACAGATTACAAGTGCCCTGAGCACAATTTCAACTAATACAATCTGAACTACCAAAATGTTAACACATTTCCATCTTTTTGGCATTAAATTTAGTAGACAAAGTAGGACGATTTAAAAAATGTTTCTAACTTTAGGACTTTTACTAATTCTGACGCCTCAGTTTATTACTTTGATTTATTTGTATGCAACATGCATCTATGTATACAGACAAATTTTGATACAGTCATAACTAAAAAGGTATTGTTGACACTATTGTTTTATATATTGATTTTTGGCTGATGGTAATAAGATTTAAGTAGATTGTGTTTTGTAAACAAAAATGTATATGTTCTTTTTTATAAAATTAAAGTTTAAACAAATACCGTGGTTTACAAGTTTTCCAACTTATATGTTATATGTTATATGTTGAAGCAAACTATATACCCCGTAAATTTTTTTAAACACAACTAGACTAAAGGCATATTTCTTATGGATGACTAGAATTTATAACTATTACACATTTTTTCTAAAAAAATGATTCATAAAATAATATTTATAAATATGTAAAAATGTAAAAAGTATTTTTACAAAGAACATTCGTCCTATGCATGATAATAATTTGTTATCGCAAACCAAACCTAAGCAACTCAATTTTAACAATGTTGTAAAAATAAATTACAACTATAAAAAGTTTGTGACAAATAAACTACCTTATCAATAACAATCCGCAGATGTTTTCGCATCCTCTCATTTGGCCGGTGGTACATAAGACGTCCGCGATTCAAACATAAAAATCAACAATTGTGAACGTGAGAAGAAAATTTTGCGTCTTGTAGGGAAACAGTGAACATTGGCTCTAACTCACAAAACCACACACTTCCTGCTCAGAAACAGCTGAAATGAAAGTTAATTGTACCTTTTGTCTGTGGAATGGGTGTGTGGCAACAAGGTTCTGTCATTCTGCAGGTCTTTGGAATATGAATAAGCTACAGCAATGGTTGTCTTGAGGTGGTTGACATTTTGCGACATAGTTTCAGTTTAAAATACTGAGCTTTCTTGAAAAAATGAAGTGGAAAATAATTTGTTTAGCTTAATTTGAACCAGAGGTTTTAAAATGTTTCTTCGTACTTATAGCATTGATTTTGTCTGACCAAATGTGCCCTAAGTCTATTCATTAGCAATGAGTTTCAATTTATACAATATGTTACTGCTATTATGTTACATTTTCAGTAAATTATAATCAGGTACTGGTATTAAAAATACATTCGCATCAACAACTGGGACAATTTTAAATGAATTGAACTTCAGAACAACTATAACGTTGAATAATTGTTGGTAAATAAATGAAAAAAAAACTGTTGATGGTATTTTTTTTTTTTTGCCATTCCAATTTCAAGAACTTGATTTATATTAGATCTTTGTTGTTTTTGCCTGCGGTATTAACTACAAGTACACAGGCAACAACAAATGTAAATCTTGCTGTCCAGGGTATTCATCATTATCGCTTAGTTCATAAATTACTGAACAATTAAGGTGAAGATTTTTAGTTTGAAATTTAGAAAATCACAAATTATTCGGAGTAAATCACAACAAAGCTTTTTTCAAAGTGTTGGTAGAGTAAAACAAACACAATACAAAGCCTCATACAAGAATATCTTTGACCTTGGCCCTGGAAATAGTTAACACTAATACTGAAACATCATTACCTCAGTTAATTCATAATAATCCATGGTGCAAACACAATCTCCGTTGATAGCTAAGGTAAATCACAATCAAACCATCCCAGCTGGTGTGGAAACTACGTTCATTGCTTTACCAATTATCACTGTGTGTTTAAAATATTCCAGGCTTGCCACTAGCTGTGTATTTTTTATACCTGGACTTCTCAATGGCTCAACTTTTGTTTGTATCAACAATGTCTACGCTATGATCTTTTACGCAGGTTTAAGGAGGGTTTTAATAAGTGTCGTACTGTTATGTTTCTTTATTGTTGCCCGAAGATAAGTATTTTTTTTACTTCAGTAATATAAGTATGTTTGTTATATTGTTCATGAGGTACAGAAGAAATTTTTATTTCTTCTCTGAAATTGTACATGGCTTTCGGTGATTGTCTCAGAGCATATGATACTGTAACTTGAGTGATGACAATGTTAACCACCAAGTTATGACTTATGGAAAGTACTTTTGTAAATATTTTTTACAATGCACATGGTTTCCAGTCACAGCAGTCTTTAGAATGCAATAATGATAACTTGAATGATAATGGTGTTCACCACAAAACTCATACAAGTATTTTTTTGGAAGTGTTTCAATAAAAACTTTTGTTAGCGTACCTATTTATTGAGAACAAAGATATTATTTAGATCTTAGGTCTTAGTTCCAATCTAACATTATGAGATTGTGATGATGTATCTTTGACTACCTATGAATTTAATTATAACTTATTAGAAAAATCTGGTTCAATCACTCGAAGCTTATTATAGCTGATCATTTTTAAGCGGTTTTATCTGATACACTTACACTTGAGTAAGGTATGTTATAACAATAAGTGACTATTGACATTAATTAACTGATAACTGGATTACATTTCAAGATTGATGAATGAACTTTTAAATTACTTTTTACTAGAATAATGACCTAATTCTGTAATTAGACTTGAAACGTGTAGGTTATGATAAAGTCTAAATTATGCAACAAATATTGAAATATTACATGTCAAACAGCTACCTATAGATTATTTTAAATTTTCAACTTAAACAATTATTTACACATTTTCTACGTTTAGGTTTTTTCCTCATTCTCTTACTGTTTTCAAACTTTAACAATGTCAGCTTGACCTTGACATTATAGTTTGAGCCACTACTAACTATGTTTAATAAGTGAGGGATTATGGTACAGGGTATTTAATATCATAGTACAGTACTTAAAAAAATTTGTTTTGTATTTTATAATGTAGATTTTTAAATGTATAATTTTATTAGACTTAATGACAAATCACCTGTCAAGAGAATTTATGTAATATGATGATGTTAAATAAATAAATCTACATCTGTTTTGTTGTTTTTATATATGTTTTACTTATTGTTCTCATATTTGAACAGATTGTAAAATAAATTCTGATAAAAAAAAATAAAAAAATTGCACTGCATATGTATCAAGATTGACATAATAATTTGTTATTTCATACATCATGTTTTCGTTTAGACTACAAAAAGTGTATA